TTTACATTTTCTCTCTTTCACTCTTGATCAAGTTGACTAGGGGTTTATTAATGTTGTTGATCTTTTCAAAGAAGCAGATTTTTGCTTTGCTCATTTTATCTGTTGTCTGTCTCCTTTTTGATTAATTTCTGCTCTTATCTGTCTTCTGTTTTACTAATTTCTGCTCTTATCTTTCTTGTTTATGTCCTTCTGCTTATGTCAGGTCTTCCTAACTCTCTTATGATATTATCTGACTCATAAATTATTTAAAAGTGTGTTTAATTCCAGATATTTGAGGTTTACCTAAATATTCTATTGTTATTGAATTCCTCCTGTGAATTTTCATGTAGAAGAACAACACATAGTTCAGGGAAAAGAGAGAAACTGGGACAATAAATGCCCTTTTCATGTTTCTGGGCAGATGTAATTTAGGTAATTTATCTGTGTATTCTTACAACTATTTATTTCTGAGAGAGAGAAATACAAGCAGGTTAGGACAAGATTAGTCAGATAAATAAATAGTAATGAATATCTTTTCATAAAATATTTCATGGTTTAAATCTCCTTCCATATATTTTCTTATTTGATTCTTCAACAAAGTATCATGTGTCCATTTGACAGATGAAGAAACTGAGGTGCTTAGTGTGTACGGGGTAGAATGAGGACTTGAGTCAGGATGTTCTGAAGTCACTTAATTCTTGTGCATCTTTTCCATGAAATATTTATAAAAGTTCTCCAATAAAAGGACTTATTGGTTATATGTGTGAAACACTGGGAGCAAACTTAAGTTTCTTTATCAGAGGGCTTCTTGGAGCTTTTTGTGAATTTCCATAAAGACTGTTCAGTATCAGATATTTTCCAAAATAATTTCACCTCATAATTTGTTATTTGTGGAGGGTTTCATGAAGCAACTGCATCATAGAACACACCCAAGAATAGCTGATATGTAATATTTAATCTGCTGACACTCAGGAGATTTTTTTGAATACCTACTATGTGCAAGGCCTGGCGCTACGTGCTGGCAGATCAAGATACTGCTAAGACATAGTTGTATGGCTCAGCAGTATGTAAGACATATCTCCCATTAAGGAGCCCTCATCATGTTTCTATTAATTCAAATAATGTTTACATACTTATCACTGTTGCTGCTCTGTCATTTGTTCTTGTGTCCACTGGCATCCTCCGTCTATTCTCTGAGAACCTTACCAACATGACCCAATTCCCCTTTGATGTGCACACTCCCTGAAGTATGCAGCCAGGGATAGGAGAGTTGTTGGATCAGGCTGGGGTTAGTCACTGCCTTGGTCTGAATTGTACTGCTCCCCTCCCCCAACAAATTCATATGAAACCCTAACCCCCAACATGATTGTAACTAGAGATAAGGTCTTTAAGAGGCAATTAAGCTTAAAAGAGATCTTAAGAGTGGGGACTAATCTGATAGAACTATGATCTTATAAGAAGAGGATGAGGAAAAGATCTCTTCCCCACCCTCCACCACATGCTGGCACTCTAATCTCTGACTTCCAGCCTCCATAACTGTGAGAAATAAATCCTGTTGTTAACCCATTATGCCTAATGTTCCATTATTGGAACACTAAGCATGTGGGAGTTATTTATATCATACTGCTCAAGGTCATTGCCAAGGTCTGATTGCAAAAATTCAAAAAATTGCAACCTCAGGCATAAATGCGGTTAAGCCTCGCAGTCAGTGGTATTTTGCTATGGCAACCTGAGCTCACTAAGTCACCCAACTCAGCAGAGGACACAGGGAAGCTCCTTTCATAGACACCAAGGGGAGCTAAAGAGGCTTTGTAACTCCCAGCTGCAGCTCCTGCTTGCTTCTCTGAAGCAAGCTTCAGATTCATGAAGCTTGATTCATGAGCTTACACAAGCTTCTCACGTGAAGAACTTTATATCAATTATTTTTGTGATGTTTCTAGCTCCTCTTGTGTGACTTTTCTTGCAACACCCAAGAGCTGCCCCAACAGCAAGATAAACTTTGTCTTGAACATCACGTAGGCCTTTCAGCAATCTCTTTTTTCCCCTGAAATTAACAAAGCTGAGTCTTCTTCTGCCTTTAGCTACACTGCAAAGTGAGACAAATGGGGTAGAGAAGAGAGGAAAGAACCAGAAAGCCCTCCCCAAAAGTGACAGCAGGAAAATCAGGTGATCCTCTTCTGCTGTGCACAAAAGTGAAATGTTGTCAGGTACTGCGGGCCCTTCCTGAGAACATGAGTCTACAGGCTGTTCCCTGGTGAAGCCATGAGCAACTCAGAGAGAAAGAAAACTATGTGTGTGGAGGTGGAACAAGCTTCTGCTGCCTGCTTCTCCCTTCCCCATCAAGAGTCTCCTCCCAGAGCAGCCCACCTCCTCAGCAGCAGACACCCAGCCTGCTGCCTGTCCCCAAGCCTTCCCTTCCCCCAGGCCTGGGCAGCCCATGTAGTGAATACAGAGCAGTAACAGAGCCCAGGGCCCAGGTCTGACTGCACATCCTGGCCCTCACCCTGCAGGCCCCTCTGAGCCTAGCCTGTCCTGAGTATGAGCAAGTCCTCGTCTTAGACAGTGTTGGGCCTCTGCACAGTCCTTTCCTGCTCAAAATAGCAATGATCATCATCCTAATAACCACCATGCATTGGCTGCTTTCTACTTACCAGTCACTGTGCTGAGTGTTCTAGAAGCATGGTTTCATCTGAGTCTCACAACAACCCTATAACATGTGTAATAGTATCATCTCCATTTCACAAACGAGGCAAGTGAATCTTAGAATGTGAATTCCTAAAGTGTGGCCAGTCCCCTACCCAATAGTGGACAGTGGCGGCCCCCCCAGATGGACTAGGAACTGATCCTCACATGTAAGACCTTTGTATAATTCCAAAGGAGAAATGAAACAAAGTTATTTAGAATTTCATTTTATACGCAATTAAGGGCTACTTACAGGCAATCCCATAATTGTATTATTAAAGGTAACTATAATTTGGTTTTCATAAACCAAAATTAGCTCATTGCTAGAGTTTATCACACACTGTAATTCAATATTTTCCTGAGAGGTAGGAGGCTTGGCAATGCTATACAGGTTCCATTGTCCCCGAGCACACACAGAGAACTGGTAGACCCATGATTTTCACAACTCTTCATTATCGAGTGCCATTGCCTTTTGTCTTGAACTGCCAATCGATTTCTATCACTGTTTTCTTACTCTGAATGATACTTTGACATTTTAGCTTTATCACTATTTAATTTGTTGTGGGCCCTCTTTTTAACCCTATTGTGAGTGGTGAGACATACTGAATATTTTGTGCCCTTATTCTCCAAAAACTCGATTGAAGAAATGGACATGTGTATTAGGTTAAACTAAATGGAACTGTTTGTATTTAACCATTTCTTATCCTAGGTTAAACCCTATGAAACTGACTATATTCAACCATTTTTGACCTACAAAAATGACAGTTTGTATGGTCCAATCTAATTATTCAAATGTAAATTATTCATATCTTGTTTTTGAGACAGTTGTACACACAATTCTCCTCAAATATGCTTGCACAATGACACTTCACTGGTGATATTCTGTCTATGAATTTGTGCTATCTAAATAACTTGCCACATGGTATTACAAGGTAATTGTAAGAAAATTGCTAAGTTATGTTAAGTTTACATACATTTTTCTAGGATTCAAAATTTTGATTATGAGTTCATATTCTTTCCTTAGAATTTATTCCCTTCCAGTCCTAGCTCCTTCATTATCACCTGCTTCCTTTTCCACTGTGAAGTGAAAATGGGTAGAACACACGGACCTTGGGATTTTTTTGTGCCATCTGCACTGACCCTGGTCAAAGAAGCTTGAAAAGTCCTACTTAAGGACCAGAAAGGTTTTTCAATTCCCATAACTAGGAAGTATGGATTCAGGATTCCCATCCAGGCCAGCCTCACAGATAGAGGACGTGGTACATTTTTGATAAATGGCACCAGTTACATTCCTGTGGCTGCCTGAACAAGAAACCTCAGCCTTCCTTGTCAACTCGAGGAAAGCTAGGATGCTAACATTTATTAAGGGACTACTGCACGCCTGTCACTCTGCTCAGTTAGGTCAAAACTTATTTAATATCATAACAAACCTATGAGATTGATAGCTTCAATCCATACAGGTGGAAAAATGGGTTCACAGGCTTGAATATTCACTCCAAGTTGCAGAAGCGGTATGGAGCTGATGAAAACAGAAAGCAAACTTCAAAACCCATGTGATATTCACTGTACTATCTTTTCTTTGTTTTCTTTTTTCCTTCCCTATCCCCCATATTGAATTCTTCACCTATAAAATTACACCAAATCTGTCCACACTCCACCATCTTCCGTTCTGATGCTCTACCACCGTCTCTCCTGTGGACAAATGCAGCAGCTCCTGGCTTCCTTCCTGCAACCAGTCCCTGCCCACACCCTCTCTCTGGTCCCCAGATTGCTCCTAGCAGCCCCATTCTATGTACAGATCTGATCATGCCCCACCTCTTCAACAGCTCTGCAGAGCTTATGGGGTATAAAACATTTTCTCACCCAGCTTTCCAACCTACCTTTCTGGCAATCTCTTCCAACACTTCCTACACACCCCCTCTGCCCCCACCCCACTAAACCCTCCAACACCCCGTGACCTTTCCAATGCAACTCATGGGCCTCTGTGCACTTGCTACTCAGGGAAGCGGTGGGCAATTTTTTTAAACCTATCTGCCAGTTCTTCACCTGGCAGTGCTCAATAAATGGTCATGAGATGTACTAGTACCCCATAGCCTCTTGTGCACGTGAGAGCATACTGGTGAGCTGTTTTGTACAGCAGATTGAAAGGTTAGCTGGGAGTAAGGATGCTTGAATCCTAGTTCAGTCTCACTGACTGTGCCTCCAGGGACAGTGCAGCCTTAGTCTCAGTCCCCTACCTGTAAAGGGTGGTATATCAGAGTGCCCATCTGGTGCTCACATCTGATGGTGCAAAGGACTTGATGGCTTACCCCAAAGGTATCCCTTTTTCTCACCAACAGGAAAGGACCTCGGAAGTCTTCTAAGGAGAGTCATGGCGTATAACCAGGAGTCTTCAGTGGAGACCTCCATCATCAAGTTCAAAGACCAGGACTTTACCACCTTGCGGGATCACTGCCTGAGCGTGGGCCAGACGTTTAAGGATGAGACATTCCCTGCAGCAGATTCTTCCATAGGCCAGAAGCTGCTCCAGGAAAAACGCCTCTCCAATGTGATATGGAAGCGGCCACAGGTGAGTGAGCCCCACAGGAGCATACCAGCCCCAGGGTCCTCGGAGTCACCTGCCATGGCACCTCCAGCCGAAAGGAGGTTGGGCCAAACCAAACCGGAAGGAGGATAAAATTCACCGGGTATCTCTGCTCCAGTGTTGCAGCTACTCAGCGGGATGGGAAGATGCTATAGCAGGAACCAGGAGCCCAGACTCCTGAGTTCTAACCCAGTTCTAACACTAAGTACATCACTAAATTAAAATGCCTCCATTTTTCATCTAAAGATGGGAAACCATGGGTATGAAAATTGTAGTTGTTGGAGTCTCCTCCACCCCATAACTGACCCCATCTATCACTCTGTCACCCTTTCTTCTCCTCAGGTGTCAGTATCTTTATATTCTTTTTCCCTTCCCTGTTAGAATTTGCTCAAAGGGAAGATATCAGGTCAGTCATTTACATTATAGGATGAATTTAAATAATCACCTCCCCTCTCTCTTTTATATTCACATTCTCCATCTTAGAGAGGCTTGACCACCTGCAAGAGAATTTTAGACATCAGCTTTAAAATTAGGGAGATATTGCAGGACAACATTCAGATCTCCCTGACTCCACAACCCCAGCAGATGGCCACTACCTCTACCTTGCAGCCAGGTGAGCCCTCCTGGTTTTTCTAGAACTATCTCAATTTTAGGGCATGACACCTCCACGGAAAATGTCTCAGCTGACTCAACATTCTGATAATCTCATCAGAACTACTGTTGATGCAAAGCACCCGGATAAGGACCACTCTAAGGACCCTCCTGCCCAAACCTCTATTCACGCTTCTGTAGGCTGCCAGCATAACCTAGAATGAGATAAAATAATATAGTGTCTAGTAAGCTAATCATTATAATATCTGCAACCATTATTGAGCACTGATTAAATGCCAAGCACTGTCCAAACACTTCCCATAAAGCCAAGGTAGGTTACAGAGTAAAGTTATTTTCTCATGGTGGCTACTAAGAGGCTATGAGGCTATGAGACAAAAGTATTTGTCTGGTCTGTGGATCTCTAATTCAGTTCTGCACATGGGAAGGAGAACTGAAGACATCAGGCTCTGGGAGGCGACACCTCTTGCCCTACAATGGGACAGATTTGAAGCTTTGGTGAAGGGAAGGGTTAGGGATCAGGTAGGGTTTGGGATGCTGCTTAGAGAAAAGTGCGGTGTTTCAGTGTTCTAGGATCCTCTTATCAGCCATTGGCAGTAAGTCCTCAACAATGACTCTCTTCTTCTAGTCTTTACCTCCTAAGGAGAGATGAAGCAGAGAATTCTATTTAAAGAAGTTCCAAGAGGTCATTTTTTTCCCATTGCTATTTTCAGAAGCTGAGATTATTTTAGAAAGAGGTGGGATTTTTTTCTCACAAGGTGCTGAGCCATAGATGTGAGACCATATTTATAGTGTTGAAGAATTTATAACACTTCTCTTTAGAAAGGATTGAGAGATTCCAATTATCTGATTCTCACAACAATTCAACTTGTGATGTCTTTTGGGGGCAAGGAGAAACTGAGGCAAACGGAAGTGAAATCACTTATAAAGAATAATGCCAGGAACCCAAAATAGAGGCAGCCAGGGGCCAAATCTGCTTTTCCCATTACTACTTTCCTCATCCAAAAGCTTACCTGAGCTCTACTGGGCGGATTGGGGGCACTTTTTCATTCTGGCACTTCTTTTTAAATGTCGTATTTCTTTGTCTTTCTTATCACAGTTGGCAAGACTTACGTTTGTATAGTACTTTCCAGAGCTTTCCATGTATCTTCTCATACTTTATCTTCTTCGTTTTCTCCTAACTTTATCGAAAACTGACGTTCAGACAAGTGATGTGACATGCCAAGGTGACATGATTAGCAAGGGAAGGATCCAGAATTTAAATGAAGATTCCTTCCACCTGCTGCGCTTTCCCCCCACTGACTTAAGTGCCTAATAGGGTCTCTGTTAGAATTTGGATGAACAAGTACATGAGTGAATGGATGAATGAAGAACCCTATCTACAGGTGCCTGATGCACGTTTCAAGTTCACATGTGCAAGAAAGAAACCTTGAGTTGACCTATTTTCCAAGTAGGACAATAAAGGAAAAAGCCAATGTACTCACCCCTTTGACACTGTGATGTCCTTGACCCACAATGTACAGCTGTGACTGCAGAGAGCACTGGAAGAGAAGCCACGCCAGCCTGGCCCATTCCTAATAGTAATGGCCATACCCACAGAGTGCTGACCATATGGCAGGCCTGGCTTTAGGGGCTTTGACTTGTCAATCCTCACAGTAACTCTATGATAAGATACTATTATTAGCCTCATTTTGCAGCTGAGAAGCAGAATCAGAGAGTAGGGGTACCTCTGCCCAAAGTCATATAGTTAGATGATAGTAGAGCTGGAATTTGAACCCAGGAGTCTGGTTTCAAGACCTGAGCTCCTAACACCATGCTAAATGGCCCCTGTAAGTCCTCATCATAAGCTCATGTCCTATTCTGGGTTCCTGCCTGTCACTAGTAATGTTTTTTGTACTAGTAGAATCTTCTACCTCATGTGAGTAAAACAGGAATCAATCCCTCTCTAAAGTTCATCTGTCTATGTTCTGCCCTTTTTTCCCTTTTTAGGGATAAAAATGGCACCTGTACCACATATGATTACTTTAAGGACTAACTGAGTACAATACTTAGAACAGTGTCTAGCACAGTATAAACACTAAGTGCGCACTAGTTATTGTTACTGTGATTAATTTGGGAGAATGTCATAAGGTAGCAGCCTCAGGGCCTATTCCCTGGGATTCTTGGGCTTTCACAGTCCAGCCATCTCAGCTTCAGCCCTTGGCCAGTTTAAGAAACTCTTTCAGGGAAAAATGTGGGTCAGAGGAAACTATGTAGGGGCTGAAGGAAGGTTGGCAGGGAGTGTAGAAAATGCCTTTCTTCTCATGTTCTGCTTTTTTTTTTTCTTTTTCTTTTTTTGAGATGGAGTCTTACTCTGTTGCCCAGGCTAGAGTGCAGTGGCACAATCTCGGCTCACTGCAACCTCCACTGCCTGGGTTCAAGTTATTCTCCTGCCTCAGCCTCCTGAGTAGCCAGGATTACAGGCATGAGTCATCATGCCTGGCTAATTTTTGTATTTTAGAAGAGACAGGGTTTCACCATGTTGGTCAGGTTGGTCTCAAACTCCTGACCTTAAGTGATCCACCCACCTCAGCCTCCCAAAGTGCTGGGATTACAGGCATGAGCCACCATACCCGGCCTCATGTTCTGCTTTCTATCACTATTTTTAGAAGGTTGACTCCCAAGCTATAGAACTTGCTGAGTGCCTGACCAGAGGTCTTACCAGTGGCCCTTAAACTACAACTATATAATGGCTGAGGTAGCACCAAGGTATTTTAGGCCCTCTCCACATTCTAAGTTTTTCCAGACAATGAGAAATCTCCTCCTATAGGCAACTGGTAAACCACAAGGGACATCATTCTGTTTTGAGTATTTATCCCAGCTGGGCAGGTTCAACACTAGCCCAAGGGTCAGGGGCATAAGAACCAGGCTTAGCTTTCTATGCCTGGTGCAGAAAAGTTGTTTTGTGTCATACACCTTTCTTTCTCTCTCCTCCCCACCATCGTACCTACCCTTTCCTTCCTCTGGCTCTTGTCCTTCCTTCCTCTAACAATTAACCTAATAATCTCATCCATTTTGCTGCTGAAACTTTTTCTGAAGTAGAAGGAAGCCCTGTTCACATCCTGCTTCATTCTGTTCCCAAGCCCTCCCCGTCCCCCAGTCAGGCTCCACAACAGCCCATGATGGTGCCCTGTGCAAATGGCACTGAGAGGACCCGACTCCTCATCAGTCTCAATGCTTCCTACAGCCCCAGTCTCAGCAAGGGACAGTGCTAAGAAATTACACTTACACATGAGGTATCCACGTGATATTTCCCTGAGCTAAATTTAGTACTTAAAGTGGACCCCTTTTAGCAGAATTTTTATTTCATGGATAATTTATCAAGCATGTACATGTGTAAAGTATTATGCTAAGCACTTTACATACAATATTTCATTTAATTGGCCTCACAGTCCTGTGAGGTAGATAATATTATCATCCTCATTAAATAGATCAGCACCATCCAATAGAACATTCTGTGATAATGGGAATGTTCTTCTTGCACTGTTCAATACAGTAGCCACTAGTCACATGTGGCTATTGAGCACTTGAAATGTGACTGATGCAACTGAGGGATTAAAGGTTTAAGTTTTATTGAATTTAAATTAATTTAAACGTAAGTATCCACATATGGCTTGTGACTACCATATTGGACAGTACACAATGGTAAACAGTAGATCTTCACAACAATAACCAATGTTGTCAGATAAACTGAAATTTCATCTTTGTACCCATTTTATAGTAAAACACACTTTACTTTTCAACTGAAAAATGGGCTGTGTGCCCCAAGCACGTTGCTTAACCGGTGTTCGAAGCTCAGCACAGCCCCATGTGGCTTCCTGCCTGTGGCCATCCTAGAGTGAGGCACTGCCTATCCAGGTGACACCTCTCCTTCCATGCAGCCAGAGCAGTTTCTGAAAGGATCATTCACTAGAAACGATTCACCTTGGGACCAAAATGTGTTCCTCAGGAAAGGAAGGTGTTAAAAAGCAGAGTTGTAAGTGCCGGTTAGGTTATGAAAGCATTCCATAAGGCAATAGGTAACAAAAAATGGCAGAAAGTGACCCTGCCAACAGCCAAGTGTCATTCAGCCAGAGAACTTGGATGCCAATAAATCAAAGTCCTCTAGCAAAAATAGGAAAGGGAGTGACGCTGCCACTTGTCCCAGACTGAACTCTGGCCACCATGTGAAAGAGCCAACTACCAAGAGGCTAAACACAGGGCTCTCTTACCCAAAAGCAGCATGCCATGTGAGGATGTGGAAGTCTTTAGAGAGAATGCAGAAATATGCCGGGTGCTGTCACATTATTTCTTGGCATATTTCTCCATCTACCTCTGGAGATGATTAGGGGAGAGCAGCTGGCTTGGGACCACATCAGAGAGGGTATTTTCTAAGATGCCAGGAGCCCTTGCATTACAAGAGCTCTGACATACCTAATATAACAGAGATTACCCCCAAGCATTGCCTGGAGAAAGGTCTCCACGATCCAGAATTAAGTTCCTAAGATTACTTAGCTTGACTATTGCTGCTGGCTTCTGTATTACTCAGGGCTCTCCAGAGAACAAGAATCATTAATATATATCCTGTTGACATATTTATTGCTAGTAAATATATCAATATATCTTATATAAATATATTCCATTAACATATTGACATATATCCTAATAGATATCCTGTTGATATATTTATAATGAGAGATTTACTAGGAGGGATTGTCTCACATGCTTATAGAGGCTGAGAAGTCCCACGATATGCCACCTGCAATCTGGAGACCCAGGAAAGCCAGTGATGTAGTTAAATTTGAGTGGGAGGCCAGAGAACCAGAGAATGGATGATGTAATTCCCTGCCCAAGGACAGGAAAAGACCAATATCTCAGCTCCAGGAGTCAGGCAGAGAAAGGGCAAATTCTCCCTTTCTTTATCTTTTGTTCTATTTAGGCCCTGAATAGACTGGATGATGCCCACCCACCCTGGGAAGGGAATCTGCTTTGCTAAATCCACCAATTCAAATGTTAATGTCATGTGGAAGCACCCTCATGGACATGCCCAGAAGTAATGTTTAGCCAAGTATCTGGGCGCTCTGTGATCCAGTTAGGATGCTATATAAAATTAACCATCCCAGCTTTCTTCTGTACTAATAACGTTTCATAGCCCTCAAAGCCCAAGTCCATCTCAGAATCCAAAAACAAAAAGGTTGAGAAGATGCTGACTGCTGGTGTGGTCAGAATGAAGAAGAAGACACTATGGAGGCAGACACCTGATTCAGAGCCTGTTTCTTGTGTGACCTGGGACAAATCGCTCAACTTCTCTGAACTTACTCCCTGGCCCTGGCTGAGTCTCAGAATCCCCTGAGAAGCTATGCAAATCCTGAACGCTATCTCTGAATGACCTATGAAATCACAGCAGTGGGAGGTAGGGCACAGCAGTCTCCCTGTCTGTGAAGCTGCTAGGTGATTCACTGGAGACTGCCCATTGCTGCCAGTTCAGGGTGAATCTAATCTAGGTTCTCATCACACTGGCTTCACTGCCCTGATGTGCCTGGCCTATCTGGTAACAGGTGGCCTTCCCAGAGTCAGCACATTTTCAGTTTCCCAGCCATCTTTACCTATTTTCTTAATGGGCCTTGTCTCAGGAAGTCAGCCTGGCAGACTAAAATGCTCCTGGGTATCATTTCTATCCCTTCCTACCGTCTCTCTTTTTGGATTATTGGTCATATCTCTAAAGTCCAGGGTCCAGGAGGAACAAGCAGCTTAGAAGACAGGAGACATAGAAGCTGCTTTTGTGCCCACCTTTGATGCAAATGATTCATATGTTTTCCCATAAACTTGAAGTTGACTATTGAATTGTGGTTTGAAATCATCACCAACTAATTTTCAACACATTAAAATATCTTTTTGTTCCTAATTAGCTAAAATTTTTGTTTTTAACTTTTATTATTCTAGTAAATCATAAAAACTTGTGTGTTTATCAAATGCCTTCATAGCATTTATTGAAAGGATACAAATATTTTTCCCTTTGGCCCATGTAAGTGCTACTTCATATTAGTAGATGTCCTGATGTGAAACCATCCTTGCATTCTGCATTTCTACAGCAAATCCTACACAATGATAACAAATTATCCAAAATCAGTCTGGTATGTATGTGAGTTTTCTCTCAGGTTGGGCATCAAGGCTATGCTGGCTTCTTAGATGGTGGCAGGATTCTTTTTTAATTTTTATTTTTACACTGAAACTGTAAATGACACTGGAATTTTCTATTCTCTGAAAGTTTGAGGGAACTCAGAGGAAAAATTGCATGTACCTGTAAGCCTTTACAGGGCATTTGGGCGATACTCTTTGGTAACTTTAAAATACTATCCAAAGGCTGTTAGTCTTTTCAGCTTGTTTACTAACATGAGTCAATTTTAGCCAAGTTTATTTTTTTCAGAAAATCATCGGATTTTTTTAATTGATTGGCATAGAATTCTACATCACTATTTTATATTTCTAAAGCCCAATTTTTAATTCTACTTTTATTTGGGTTTCTCTACCATATTTGCCAAAGGTTGAGTCTATGTAACCCTCCCCCACATATTAGGTTGGTGCAAAAGTAATTGTGGTTTTTGTCATTGAAAGTAATGGCAAAAACCATTATTAACCATTACTTTCAATGGCAAATAATAGAACAATTTATTTATTAATCTTGCTGTTTTTCTGGTTTATAATTCACTAATGTTCTTTTCAGTTCTTCCACCTATTTTTGTGAGGCTCTTTTTGTCTTTTTCTTCCTAAGATCTACTGCTAAATTCATGTTTTTATTCTATCTTGTTTAATAATGAATGCATCTGAGGCTATGGGTTTGTCTGAGTATAGCCTTTTTAATTTTGCAAATATTTCAAAAGAGGGGGATTAATAATTATTGAACATGTACTATGTCAGACACTGTGCTAAGTATTTCACATCCTTCCTCATTTGTAAACGTAAGGACTGGTCCAGCTTTGCAAGGCTGTTGGGAGCCTACCAGAGAGAATCCTGGAGCAAGGTACCCTCCCTCAGCAAGGATTTGATGAATGACAGCCATTGCCTTGATTGCATCATCATTAGATTCTCTCAACTGTCCTTACATTTTGTATTATTGTTCCCATTTTACACATGAGGAAACAGGCACAGTAAAGTAAAGGGAATTGTTCAAGCTCTCAAGGTCACCCAGGAAGAAATGTTAGAGTAGGATTCCACACCAGGTCTGTCTGAATGGGTTCTCCAAGCACCCCTACTCTTGCTCTAGGGATCCCTGGAGGGGAACTAGCAGGACCACAGCAAAAAAGAGCTGTGGCCAAAGTCAAGAAAATGGAGCAAAGCCATCTTTGTTCTGGGTCTGAAAATGCCACAGCCTCCATCCCTGCTTTACTTCCCATGAGTAGAGGATCTTTGACAGCAGGCCTCCTTTGAGACCTTAAGTCCCCTTTTCCAGTAGAGAGAGGAGACAAGTAAAGGTTACTGAAATGCCCTACACCATTTTAAAACTGACTCCACTTGGAACCCTGCATGCACCTGAAGGCCCTCTGGATGTCCTTCCCTTTTTCTTGCGTTGAGGGAGATGCCAAAGTTCTGCCCACCATGGCTCTGGCAGAGGGTCAGACCTTGTGCCACCCCAGGGTCCCCCTCACCCGGAAGGGCCTGGGCCTGAGAGTTCCCCTCCTGGCATTTGACGGAGTCAGTTAGTTGTAGAGAAAGCAGCGGGAGGAGTTTTGTAAAATGATGCCCTCAGCCAGGACCCTGTGTTTGCAGGCAGGCACACCTTCGTTTTCCCCTAAGTGTGCATCTCTTCCAGAAATCTGGGCAGTTTATGAAGAGCTGGCAGGTTCTACAAGGCACGTGACTCTGTACATGAATGTCTACTGAGCAAATGAATCCAATTCCAGCTTGCAGGCCTGCTCTCTGCGGACTTATTGGTCAATGTGAAAAGAAATGATACAAGGACCAATTACTAAATTATGCAAATCCAGAAAGAGCTGCACAGAGAGGAGGCTGAGGTCATCCTGGCCAAGTCTAGAGGGCTGGCTGGTGCTGGGGCAGGAGCCAGACCTGTGGCCCGGTGTTCTCCCAAAGTGCCTGGGGGATCCCCTTTGGGAACTCTCACAATTTCAGTGCCTGCTGACAGTTCCTCATGTTCTTCCCAGATGTGGTAGCACTGGGGGAATCCTCCGTAACCACTTTCTTTGGCTGGCAGGCACTATGTGTGTTAGAAGTTAGGGAAGGACCGGGCACTGAGTACCAGCTCCTCACACAAGCGGACTGGGGCCTTCCAGACCCAGTCTGTGAGTTACCCAGGGAGTGGGTAAAGAGCTGAGGTGTGTGCACTGTATATCCCTTACAGCACATGGCTGGACTTAAACCTGGAGTCCAGAATGCCGATGCTCATTTCTGAAAGATACCATTTTACAACAAAAGCTTTATTATGAAAGCTATAGTACTTTATTACATTTATAAATGTCTCCTCTCATAAACGTATTCTATTCATTTTTTATGGTTTATTTACAACCTCTTATTAAAACCCTGGCTTGTTGAGATGGAATGGCTATTTGATCCAAGGATTCCAAGTCCTTATTTATGTTCTCTCTTCGTGTAGTATGCTAATGCATTATGGCCTGTCTTTTCAGTTACATTTACACCCTATGATACCTGCTGCCTTCCTGGTAGCAATAAAGGCCGAAGAGCCCAGCAAACTTTCCTAACTCGGATTTTAAGCACCTTTTTAAGATTTAACCTCAACCCTTGAAAGACAAAGTGAATGATGTCACTTTGCGACACAAAGCAATGAATGATGCTCATAGCTTTTCTCCTTCTTTCCTAAAGGATTTACCAGGGGGTCCTCCTCACTTCATCCTAGATGGTATAAGCAGATTTGACATCCAACAAGGAGGCGCAGGTAAGAATGCAACATCTTCTCTCCCTGCCTTGGATAGGAAGTGGTGGAGGGTGGTGCCTACCCACAGAGTCCTGCCCTACTTCTAAGGGAGAAAGGCCAGTTCCCTTGGTGCAGATGTGGACAAACTGCTCACACCCAGTCCTGCAGCCTGCAATGAGCAGGGGAAAAGGAGACAGGAAAAATGAAAGCAAACATACACTGAGTTTCTGCAGTGACCGTGCAAGACACCTTGTGTGTGCAACAACCTCATTTTATATATGTGACAGTGGAGAGTCCAAGAGGTAAAATAATTTGCTTAATGTCACACACTCAGTTAGTAACAGAGTTAAGAATCCAGCACTCTCTGACTGCTTCCCACCCCACCAGGCAGCCCCAGAGCAAAGGAGCTACTGAGAGCTGGAGGGTATGGACAGGGCAACAGGAGGGGCTGCCCAAGAGGAGGTACCTGGGCTGTTCCAGGTGTGGCCAAGAGAACCCTCAGAAAGAGAAGCGTTGGAGTGAAAGGGCAGAGCTGGCTGGAAAGTGGATAGGAGTTGGAGACAGCAAAGACAACAACCTTTCGAGAACACATTCTAAGCTTTCAAAATGTCAGCTTGCAGATGATAGGTCCTGTAATTGAACTTCGCCTGGTGAAATCACCGTGCCTTGGACCAAGTCAATAGAGCCTGCCTGGCCACCAGCCGATGGTTCCCCTATTAGGGTTTCACCAGCTGGAAAAAGGACCTCTCTGAGGCCGTTTTTGTGGCTTCTGTACTGAACCCAGTGCCTGGCATGAAATGGCATTCAAAGACAAATTGATCATGTTAGGGGTGAAGGAGAAAGGACTCAGGGAGGGGAGGAGAGGACTCAAAAGGGCTTACAAGGACATCCAAGGAGAAACTCAAGGCCATGCATCCCTCAAGGAGGAAAAGGAGAGAACACCCCCCTACTTCTGCACAGGGAGAGGCTGACCTAACAGGAAAGAAAAACGTGAATCAGTTTTCCTCAATTGTACAGAGCATCATTGCCAACATTTGCTGTAACTGAGCACCTCTGGCAAAAAGAGAATCAGAGGCTGGACGTGCTGGCTCACACCTGTAATCCCAGCACTTTGAGAGGCTGAGGTGGGTGGATCACTTGAGGTCAGGAGTTTGAGACCAGCCTGGCCAACACGGTGAAACCCTGTCTCTACTAAAAAAATACAAAAAATTAGCCGGGCTTGGTGGTGCGTGCCTGTAGTCCCAGTTGTGGAGGCTGTGGCAGGAGAATTGCTTGAACCTAGGAGGCGGAGGTTGCAGTGAGCCGAGAGCGCGCCTCTGCACTCCAGCCTGGGCAACAGAGCTAGACTCCATGAACACCACCACCACCTCTGCCCCTTCTTTATCTGGCTTGGAGCCAGTCCCTGTGACTCCCTCCCCTGGTTCTCCTCAGAGGAAAAAAAAATGCATCATTTAGAAGGAAGTGTGTGGCCTCTGGTGGTAAGGACCTTTTAAATTATGGGACGGGGTTTCCAAGTGTGTCCCGTCAGCCTTTCCTGCCTTATCTCCCCTCACAGCTGACTGCTGGTTCCTGGCAGCACTGGGCTCCTTGACTCAGAACCCACAGTACAGGCAGAAGATCCTGAGGGTCCAAAGCTTTTCACACCAGTATGCCGGGATTTTCCGTTTCCGGGTACGTGTGCCCTTGCAACACTCATTATACTACGGGGTTCTCTGTGAGTACAGGGAAGGTGACAGTCTTAAGTTTTCTCATGGCCTGGAAGCCTGAGATGAAAGTGACAGTTGTGTTAGTTACCCTCCCTACCTCCAAAAAAAGGATTCAAGCTTGTAGTCTGACAACACACAGGGAAGATGAGAGTTGAAATGTTTTTGTGTGAATAAAAAGAAATGACAGAAATGATTAGCAAAAGAGTCATTGATCGAGAACCCTGTAACTAACATCGAATTTTGGTCTCTGTTTATTCCTGTGCCATATTGTGCTATTTTGATTACAGTAGCTTTATAGGAAGTGGTAACATCTGGTAGGATAAGTTCTCCTTCATTATTCATTACCATTTTCTCAAAAATATCTTGGTAATTCTTTCACATTTATTCTTCCATGAGAATTTTAAAATTATTTTGTCTATTTTTTTAAAGCCACTGTGATACAGAATGCAGCAGCATTTAATTATTAATTTAGAAAAATTACATTTTTTAAAAAATTTTAAGTTTTCCTTTCCAGAAACACGGGATACCTTTCTATTTATTCAGAACTAGTTTTATGCCCTTCAATAAAGTGTAATATTCATATTGGTGCTGTATCTTTCTTGATAAATTCATTCTCAAACATTTTATAATTTTGTGGCTCATGTAATTGAGGTCTTTTTCCCTCATTTTGAACTTGGTGCTGCTAAAAAAGAGAAAAGCTACTGCTTATCATATATTAAACTGTATCTAGGCTCCTTACCAAATTCTTTTATTAGTTCTTAATTCTTTCTGTAACAGAATCTGGAATGGTTTAGTTATCTAATAATATTATCTGCAAATAGATAATTTTGTCTCTCCTTTTAATATCTGTAGAACTTATTTTGCTCTCTTGCCTTGTCACATAAGCTAGAACCTCACAATTTTGAATGAGTGACAAGAGCCAGATCCTGCCTTCTCTTGATTTCAGTAATGTGCTCTCTTGATTCACTCTTCTTTCAGTACATTCAAGTTGTTAAAAAATTGTATTGGAATTTTTGTACCTATATCATGCATAAAAGTGGTTTCTAGTTGATGTTATTTTTATCATGTTTAAGTTCTGCCAGCTTTTTAAAACAAGCTGATTGAGCTTTACATACCTTGATTTGAAATAAGTAGAATAATGAAAGCTAATCGTTGATTAACTGTTCTTTGAAAGTAAAATAGACAATAGTGAAATTACCTGGGCCTGCCTCCCTTTTAAATGTGATTTCTTTAATTCTTCCAGTGTATTCAATAGCTATTGATCTGTTCAGGTCTCTTACTTCTACCGAAGTTAATTCTTGAAATTTATACTCGACTAGAAAAAATCAACTGTTTCTTTGGTATTTTCAAATATATTGCCACTGAGTTGCTTATATGAATCTCTGACAATTCATTTAACTTCTTGTAATCTGTGACTAAATCTACTTTCTTAATCTGTGCTGTATTTTTACTTTTCCTTTTTTTCTTAATTCTGCTTTTCTTTATCCAATGAATCTGTTATGTGGGTGTTGTGTGTGTATGTTGTTTTTTTTTTTAACTAATCAACTTTTGATTTTCATTTGTCTTTCTATTCTTTTCCTTTTGAGGTTTTGTTTTCTATATAACTAATTATTTCAATCCTATCTTTATTAATTCCTTTATACTTTCTCCTGATTGTATTGTTTTTTGTGATTTTCTGAAACTTCACACTTAATATTCGTAGTCTTTTTAATTTCCTCTGAAATGTGTATCTATAGGTTTTGATATAAAAAGTCTTACTTTTATTAATTTTTAAGATAATACAATTTTAGATTTTGTATCTTTATCATATAGGGATTGTTTCTTTAAAGTTTATTTGATTTTCAAGTGATTAAGTTTTGCAAGGGGTAATCTTTTAGTTACTGAGTTTCTGTTTTATTATAATTGGAGAATATAATTCATAACTGTCTGCATTTGGGGAGATTAATAAAGTAGTTTTATTTCTAGCCAAGCCCACAGCAGTTTTTATAAATGGCTCATGGACACAAAAGAAGAATCTACATTATCCAATGGTTGTGAGTTTTACATACTGAATCAAGCTCTATGATTTCCAATTGTGTTATCTGTCATTATGTCTTTTATCTTTACTTATTTTTTGTCTGCTTGATTCTTTAGATCATAACAAAGAGGAAAAGTTCTTCCCATAGTTATTGTTAGGAGAATTCTTCTTATGTTTTCAGGTGCTCTGGCTTTACACTTTTCCTGCTATGTTCTTTGGTGCCCAAAGGTTTATGATCTTGCTATCTTCTTCTTGCAACAAAATTTGTACAATATCCCTATTTGTTGCATTTAATGCTCTGGCCTTGGATTCCTCTTTACCTGATATTCCTATTGCCACTTTAGCTTCCTGTTATGTACATTTCCCTGTTATATTTTTGTTCATTTCTTTATTGTTAATTTCATGCTCACTTGGTTATAGGTGTGTTTCTTATAAAAAGCGTATTTGAAACTCATTGCCTACCACTGTTTCTCCCACCCTTCATTTCTCCTTAAGATTTTTGTTCTAATTAAATCTTTATTAGATAGAATTTCCTTGAATAATTTCCTCAGAATATGTGAGAGTTTTTCCTTTTCTCTCATTTAAAAATGATATTTCAGTTAGGTTTACGATTCTTGGATCATGTTTCTTTTCCTGAAAAGTCTGTAAACATTGTTTCGTCGTCTTGCAGCTTCCAGTGCTGCAGAAGAAACATCTCATGGTAATCTATTCTCTGGACTTTGACTTTGTATGCAATGTGTTCTGTCCAACTGAGAGTCTGTAAGAAGTGCTGGCCAGGCGTGGTGGCTCACACCTGTAATCCCAGCACTTTGGGAGCTTGAGGTGGGTAGATCACAAAGTCAGGAGATTGAGGCCATTTCTGGCCAACATGGTGAAATCTCGTCTCTCCTAAAAATACAAAAATTAATTGGGCATGGTGGTACATGCCTGTAATCCCAGCTACTCGGGAGGCTGAGGCAGGAGAATCCTTGAACCAGGAAGTCAGAGGTTGCAGTGAGCTGAGATCGTGCCACTGCACTCATGCACTCCAGGCTGGCAACACAGTGAGACTATATCTCAAAAAAAGAAAAAAAAAGGGCTGTCTCCTTGGAGTTCAGAAATTTCTCTGGAATATATCTATATATACACCTGCTAAAAATTCATCTTGTCTGGGAATTCAGTGATATTTTTCAATCTGAAGACCTGTATCCTTCCAGTCAACTAAGTTTCCCTTTATTATTTCTGGGCCCTTCCTTTATCTTGCTCTTGCCTCCTTACATTCAGCTATTTGCATATTAGGTCTTCTGTCAGGCAGGTGATGATACTGCTGCTGGTCCAAGGACCACACCAGCGAGTGAGCTAGAGGATCCAGGATTGAGCTGTGTCTGGACTTGTCCCCAGCATTGGTGGAGCTACTTAGGTGGTTGGACAACTCAAGGCCCAGGCAAGACACGCTCTGCTCTTTTGGGTGGTGAAGAAAGTCACACAGTTCCCCAGAAGCAGCTGCAGTGCCCTGACCTCTGTAGATTTCCTCTCATTGCTGCGAGCTTGTGTACTGCTCTCCAAAAGTTATCCAGTGCCCAGGTCACCTCAGATGCTTTGCCTAAAACACTCTAGTTTCCCTGTCAGACCACTGGCTGTTGGCAAAATGACCTCCAGCATGGTTCTTGGAAGGTACAGACATGATCCAAATGCCAGTCCTCCCCACCCAGAGGCATGAACCAGGAAATGCAGGTGGTGGCCTCATTCTTTACCACCGGTCAGGCCCTTTGCATCGTCTCTGAGAGTGGCAAATTTATCCGATGTCCCCTTTGTATAGGGAGGGCAAGTTTGGTCAGCATTGCTGGTGTGGGAAGATAGGGCTAAGAGTTGTTTTTAAGATGAACTAGGCTAGGCACTAGTGCCTGTAATCCCAGCACTTTGGGAGGCCGAGGCGGGCGGATCACGAAGTCAAGAGATCGACACCATCCCAGCTAACACAGTGAAATCCCGTCTCTACTAAAAATACAAAAATTTAGCCGGGCGTGGTGGCGGGTGCCTGTAGTCCCAGCTACTCAGGAGGCTGAGGCAGGATAATGCCGTGAACCTGGGAGGTGGAGTTTGCAGTGAGCTGAGATTGTGCCACTGCACTCCAGCCTGGGTGACAGCAAGACTCTGTCTCAAAAAAAAAAAAAAAAAAAAAAAAAGAAAGAAAGAAAGATGAACTAACCAGAGAAGCTCATTCTAGCCAGGACTTACTCATTCTTAACGTCCTACTGTGTGCCAGGCGTTGTCCTAGGTGCTGAACCAAATGGCCACTGAAAAGGAGTCTCTACTCTCATGACTACAATCTTGTTTTCATAATCTCACCTTTTATGGTCTCATCTGATCCTAATCACAACCTATGAGGCAGTTCTTACTCCTACTGCAATTTGACAGATGAGAAAACTGAGTCCCAGAGAATTATCTTGTCCAACATCTGTTGCTAAAGTAATAAGAGGCAAGACCAGCATTCAACTGCATTTCCACCGACTGACTGTTATCTACTATATGCTGCCACCCAATTAAGCACAAAATCCAGATTGTCCTTTTGGTACTCCCTTCTAGGGACTGGGATTAGCTTCTCTTAGTGCTTCGGATGCATTTGGTAATCACCGTCCTAAAACCATCCCTGTTGCCTCTCATCCTCACTGCTGACACATCTTGCTGCTCACTGCAATAGGAACGCAAGTCCACAGCTATGCAGAACCCGCCACAGTGCACTGGCTCATTAGCAACTATTAAAACATGTCTCCACTGACATATCTGTCTCAATCTCTATCTCTGCTCTGAGATTGCATCCGCGGCTGGATGCAACAGCCTGACATCTGGGACATCCAGATGTGGAAAAGGCCATGTGGATGAGCGATCCCATCCACCCAGCTTTCCATGGAGTCCACCCAGTGGAAATTGGCCTTTGCCAAAGCTCAGGGCTGAAGCCGGAAGCCCTGCTGCTTCTCCTACACAGGGAAGGCCAGCAAAGAGAATCCAAAAAGCTGGTTTTGTTATGAATTTTCCTCATTTGGCCATGTCCCCGGGTGAACCATTTAGAGTTGAATGCTAAAGATTCAAACAGTCTGTTTTGGAGAGGAACATCTGGTTCATTTGCACTCTTAGCAGTAGCAACACTAGCCAGTATCCTTTCTGCTGCTATAATGGCAGGGCAGCTTGACAGGAGAAGAGAGGGGCCAGAGGGAAGCTGTCACTGCTCAGTCCTCCTGAGCCACCCATGTCATCTGTCTCCAGGCCTTTGCCCACAGTGTGCCTCCTGTCTGGGATACCTTCCCTGTATCCCTGCCACGTGCTTAAATCCTGCCTCCTCCTTCAAGCTCTCAGCTCCTGCAGGCTCTGCCTCTGTCATGCTAGCCCTGCCCCCACCACTCTCCTCTGTTGGTAGCATTGCTTCCCTATTGCCATTTTGTGCACAAGAAGTACCTGGAGAGTCTCATTTGTGTCACTAAAGCTCACAAAGGACTTGCCAAAGAGAGGCAACGCTTAGGAGCAAAGTGAAGCTAGAACCCAAGTCTGCTTCTTCCCTGCCTATATCTTCCTGGACTAAGTTGGTCTGTGACTCATTTTCTCCATCTGCCGGTGGAGATGACATGCCTGTCTCCTGCCTGGCAACCTGGGCTGGGATTTTGTTCTGGATAGAGTTTGTTATTACATTGTAGAGGTCATGTTACAACTTTTGGCTTAAGTTGGGGGACCCAGGAGCTCCCTCCTGCCTCAGCTGTGTCCGAAAGCATATGCTTGGCTCTCTTCCAGTTCTGGCAATGTGGCCAGTGGGTGGAAGTGGTGATTGATGACCGCCTACCTGTCCAGGGAGATAAGTGCCTCTTTGTGCGTCCTCGCCACAAAAACCAAGAGTTCTGGCCCTGCCTGCTGGAGAAAGCCTATGCCAAGTAAGTACAACCCCGCCACCCATCAGCCCAGAGTCTCAGTGCTGGTCCTGCCTACCTGGAATGCAAACAGTCCCCATTGGAGCATTGTAGCCTTTGCCACCTGGCTGGGCGTCTCCATAAACAGTCACCACGTGCAAAGGTCAGTGTTGGGGCCATCAGGAGGATCCCACAGGCACATAGTGAAGAGTGGGCAGGGCAGGGGCTGGACAGAGATATGTATTGACAATGATATTAATGCAAGGCTGGTATCAGGGCCCAAAGAAATATATTTAATAATATCACGGTCAAAGTCTGACGAGAGGGCAGAGGAGAGAGTAAACAATTCTGACTCTCTGACTCACAGAAAGTCAGGCTGAGGCTGTGTGGAAGTGATGGCATTTGAGTGAGGCCTCAAAGGATGGACAGGATTTCAGCAAGGGGAGAGGGGATAGGTGGGAGGAGGTATCTCTAACAATGGGAGTGATACAAATAAAGCCATCCTTGGGGTGGTCCAGGCAGTTGGGCACCCGGTGTGGCTGCTATGAGGTGGCATTTATGTGTGGGTGTGGGGCAGGACATGCTCATTCTCATATGGTCAAAATACCATGACTTAGGGACTGCCTTTCGGTGCTGACAAGCTTAAGAACTTATAAACATCCCAATTCACATGTTGTGCTTAGATTCTTTGGGTTGCTTTTATTCAACAGATGTTTATTGAGCATTTAACCATATGCCGGGCACTGTGCTTGGCACTGGGACAGACGCTCTCAGACTGACTCAAGTGGATGTGTGCAGGACTGTGGATGGGGGAGGTGCACATGTGTGTGTGAGGAAGAGGGCCCTGTCCTAAACACCCACAGAGGTGATGAAGATACACTCAAACTTTCCGTCATCAACACAATGTAAACACGAAGAGTAATGACACATCCGTCTCCTCCTATGAGACTGCAACAGCTGGAGAATGCCAAGTGCTCGCCAGCATGTGGGGATCCAGGACCCTCCAGCAGCACGGGAGGGAGTGTGCACCCAGGCAGCCTCTGAAGGACAACCCAACAATACTTCGCTTCGCTACACGCACTTCTCACACCCAGTAGGGACACTCCTGGGGGCCCTTAAAGGGACACATCTGAGGATGTTCTTGACTGCCACGAGGATGGTATGGAGTGTCCATCACTGAGGTCAGTGGGTACAATGGATGGACACACTTCATGGAGAGCCATGCAGCAGTCAGAAGCCACAGATCCCATCTGTGCACGGTGACCGGGACGGTTCTGAGAGGCAGGGTCCTCGCGGTCCCCTAGAAGTGTCCTTGGTGGATGTGAGACGTGCATGGAGCCAAGATAAGTATTGTCAGGTTGTCCTTCAGAGGCTGCCTGTATGCACACTCCCTCCTGTGCTATTTGGGGGTTCCTGGATCCCCCTATCCTGGCAAACACTTGGCACTCTCCAGCTTTCTGGCTTTTGCAAATGAGGTAAGAGGCACTAAGCAATCCCATGCACTGTTATTTATGGAAATGGAAACTCTGTGCCCTGCAATTCTCATTTCACAAGAACACATACGAACAAAAGGTGCACATTCCACATCCTGAAGTGCTTGTCTTGGGGTGGAGGAGAAAAAGAATGTGGATAGAAGGAAGGAAGAAGGAAGAAAAGAAAAAAGAGAAAATTCATGAAATGAAATGAAACAAATAAATTTAAAAAAAAAAAGAGCAAGACCTCGCAGTGACGATATTATGAAGGGGGAAAGCGGCACACCTGGAAATAGGACAGGAAGGTACGCAGAGTTCCAAGGGCCGGGACTGTCATGGGGCTGGTCCCCAGGGCCTGGAGAAAGGCTCTGGCATTGGTTTTGCTGCAGCTGCTGTGGCTTCTGCTCTGCTCTGCTCCTCTCTGCAGCTGGCCTGCTCCTCCTACTACCACCCAGGTGCCTGTCTTTGCTGTGCATCTTCCTCTGCTGCCTCCTTGCTCCGACTTTCTGAGGACCCCTGCTTCCTCTGAACTCCTCATCAGGCCGCCTAGCCTTGTGCCTCTGTCTTTACCTTCTGCTACTTTCTACCCAATTCCCCGCCCAGTACCTGATTCCAATCCAGAGAGTTGGAGTCTTATTGGTCAAGCCTGGGTCAGGACCCCATCGGTCCAATCGGCCATGACCTGGGTCAAGTGGCTACAAAGGGGCACGAGCTGGGGAGGGGACACTTGCCCTCAGAAGAGGCTGTGTGTGAGGCAGGCACCGTGAAGAGGCGAGGGAAGTGTCAGAGCTGGGTATCACTGCTAGCAGATGAAAGCAGAGAGGACCACACCCTTGAGAAGAAAATGAGTGGACAGCATCACAGATCCAGAAAATTCTGGAGATCATCCTAACCAGCCTCTCGGCCCACAGATGGAGAAGCTGAGTCTCCGAATTGTGATGGGGTGGTAGGTGCACGTAGTTAAGCTGGGCCTGCCGGGTCTTTACTCACCTGGCCAGGGGACATCATTATCTTCCCCATCCGTTCTGCACCCTTGCCAAGTGCAGTCCTGGGCCCTAGAGGTGGTGATAGCCCCACAGTCCACCCCAGTCCCGGTCCTTCTGGAAGTCACAGTCCAAACAGCAAGGTGCCTCAAGACCTCTTTTTGTGCATTCTTTCTTTTTGAGGCAAACTTGTGAAAAACTATAGTTTTTGTTCATTTCCAGTGTCAGAAAGAGCTGCTCATTAGCATTTGAGAATGAAGCCCAGATAACAGCCAAGGTTGTTGAACCAATCCACATGTTTGGGAGGTTAATTCACTTCTAAGCTACTTATGAAAACACTGCCATTATCTTTTCAATACGGATTCAGCCCTCCTCTCTTCAGGGCCTTGTTTTATCCTTATGTAAAAACAGGGAGACCAGTAGTTCCCTGTGAGAATTAGAAAGCTTGCAGAAGGAAATGATGACTTTGACCCCATTTTGTTAACAGATGACCTAAAGCAATCATTCAGCTTGAAAACAAATAGGAACATGGATGTGGCATCCGCATTCCACTGCTTAAAGAAATCTAGCAGAGGATAAAATGTCTCAAACTATTAAAGCTGTTTAAAAGCTTCCCCACCCCTCACTATCCAAAAAAGGAAGCTCTAAAATGCAGGGGTGAATCACATAGACTTACAGTGTTTCAGAGCCAGAAAGGACGTCTGTCAGCATCAAACCCCACCTTCTTTGAAAGATGAGGAAACTGAGGCTCAGTGAGGTGAAATGACTGGCCCAAGATCACACTCAGATGAGGATGGAGTGAGCACGTTTTTCCCTAGTCACTACTTCCCATGCCTTCCCACCATCCCTGACATTGTCAGTCCTACAGGAAAATGATTTGTCTTTTTGCTACTTGTGGAGCTCAGTGTCTGGCACACAAGGACCACAGCCCAAACGTAGAGAGCCCATCTGTCCAGATGGAGATGGACCTCTTCCCTCCAAGGGTGCAGGCAACAGCCCAGTGAACACATGGACTCCAAACTTTCTATTCTCCTTGCAGCTGGGGAGTCTGGAAATTAATTGGTCAAGTCAAATGAAAACCATAGTTAGGGTTTCGTTTTCCCCAGAGGTCGTGAAATAAGAGAGGAGACTGAGGGATGAGAGCTGGTAGGCTGCTTACCATCCTTTATAGACTCTTTACAGCATTTCAGCATCTGCTCCGGCTCTATCTGAATTCTTTCCTCTTTCATATGATTGCCGGGCAGAAAGACATTTCCCCCAAATGAGGCTGAAGCAGAGGAATGGGGACAAGGTTGTCTCAGAATTCCTGGTTCAGGTGATGAGGAATAGTGGTGGCTGCGGTGAATACAGTTCTTTCTCTCTCTCCTTTCTACTTCCTGTCAGCAAAGGGGGCTAAGAATAGTTGCCATGTTCCTGAACATCAGCAGGATCCATGAGCTCATGTTTAGAAAGCAGAAAGATAGTTCCTTGTCAAAACACCCAGCTGCTGCTGGGACAGGTTTCATGGGCATTGTGGATGCGTAGTAAGAGAAAGCTTCAGAAGACACCAAGGGCTCTGGCCATGAGTGGCAGGGGGTGCCTCTGGTTGTCTTGGGTGACTCCGAGATGACTGCCGGATGCCGTGGGTGCAGGACGTCAGATGGGGCCCAGAGGCAGTGAAACAGTGAAGTGAGGGAGGGGCCAGGCCCCACCACGGCTTTTCTGGAGTGCTGTTCTTTAGCACAGCCCTGTTTGAAGCCAGGAAAGGCGCCGTGAGCATATCACCAGGAAAGGGCTGTTGCAAAGAGCAGGAGGTCGCACTGGCGGGGAATGGATTCCCAAACCCCAGTCCTTGTGAATTTCCAGCACACTCAGCCATGCCCTGGTCGATGGAACAGGAGCCAGAACCCACGTGGGACAGCGAGGGATTCCAGAGCTCAGCCCCAACCAGGCACGCTCACCACCAAAGAAAACTCTACAGTTGACTGAGCAAATGCTCCAGAGAGAAGAATCTAGACCCTGGGTCAGAGAGAGGGAGAGAAGGAGGATAAGGTTTAGAACCAGTTTTAAAACAAGATTAATCTGTCACATGGGGGCTCCTGTAGAGATGCCCCTTCATTCTGGAAATCCTCAGCTTTCTTTAATAAAAGGCTTTCTAAGCCATTCCTTCTAAGCATTCGTGCCTGGGGCAGTGTCCTGCTGATAGTGACTGCTTGATACATACGTATTTGCTGAAGTGAATCTACCGGAATTCTGTGTGATCCCCAGGAGGAGAGAATGTCAGAGGTGGAAACAGTGAGAAAGGAGTGTTGAGGGCTGATCCAGTCCACCCTGCAGCTTCCAGATGAAAGGCCAAGGACAGGGAGGGGAAGGGTCTTGTCCAGGGTGGAAGACCCAATTGGAGGGGGCAGCAGGACGGACCCAGGCCCTGATCCATGTGTGATTTTGCATTACCAGAACAAAAGCTGCAGCAAGGACTTCCTCCACTGCCTACCACCCTTCGAAGGGCTCTGCCTCTATCTGCCACCGGGGACAGGAACGCGTAGGTCCCTGGCGAGAGTGACAGAGGCAGCAGTGAGTGTGGCTCCCGCTGGGCGTCTTTGATGCCAGGGTCTCCTGCGTGATCTGGCCTCAGTTCCACATCCTTTGTGAGCTTGCCCTGCCTAAATTTTAAAATTCCATGGAACCGTTCCAATTCACCCCATGGATGGGAGCTGAAGTTCTCAAAACACATCTGACTGTCTGGCCGCTGCGTGAGAGGTTCCATTGTGACTGATCAGGCCACCCTCTCTCCTGGGGAACAGTAGGCCTCTTGGGTCTGGCCCTGCCCATCTCCCAGAAACAGAAATGCCATGGGCGGGGGTGGAGGTGGCGTGGCAGGAAGAGATGCTTTGGAGAAGGGGGTGAGGGTTTTAAGCTTTTGGGTTATGTTACGTAAGACTCATCCTTACCTATGTTACCTTTAGTTAAGCCAGTGATCTCCCTCATAATCTGGGGGTGAGTGGGTAATTCTGGGGATAGGAATTCTGGATCAGGGTTTGCAGAGTGAGAACAGCGACTCCCAATGACCACTGCCAGCATCAGGGTATAGCTGTGAGCTCTTAGAGGGCAAGAACGGGGTTTTTAAACACATGCCTCTCATAGTCCCTGGCCCACAGTCAGTACTTCACACTGCTGTTAAACTGAATGGGAAGCAGGAGATACTCAACGTAGTAATATCCAGTACTCGTTAAGGAATGACCACGTGCCAGGCACTATGTGGAACATAGCCCCATGAGGTTCCTTAATGTGTCCAAGGTCAAGCAGCCAAATTTGTGGCAAAGGTAGGGTTCAACCCCTGGCCTGTGGCTCTAGCACAGGCACACGCAGCCTGTCATCAGTGCTGCCACTTATGGGACCGTGCAGGCCTAGGGGACCAGGGCAGGAAGGTACAGAGGACGGTAGGAGCCCCTGGAGCAGCAGACAGTGCTAGAATCTCCATCTAGGCAAATGGGAGGTAGATGGCCATGGTCAGGAGTGGACCAGGCAGCCTCTCACCTGGGAAATAGGCAGAGGGTCAGTGCACAAGTTCCCCTCCCGGAGCATTTCACCAAAGGCACCACGATGGTTCATCCCCCGTTCCCCTCCCAGGCTGCTCGGATCCTATTCCGATCTGCACTATGGCTTCCTCGAGGATGCCCTGGTGGACCTCATGGGAGGCGTGATCACCAACATCCATCTGCACTCCTCCCCTGTGGACCTGGTGAAGGCAGTGAAGACAGCAATCAAGGCAGGCTCCCTGATTACCTGTGCCACTCCAAGTGAGGTAAGTCAACGGGGAGCCCTTTTGCACCAGTTCAAGCCTTTCCTCAGCCAGGAATGCTCAGCCAGGGGCGCATTCAGCTAAGAAGGGTATGGCAAGCTGCCACCACTAACGAACACTGACAGTGTGCATTACCTGGGTCACCTCATTGAACCCTGCAGTAGCCTGCCTCTAAGACAGAAATTGCAGAATTCACTTCACAGAAGAGAAAGCAGACTCAGAGAGCCTACCTAAGGTGCTCACCATCATACAGCTCATAAGTGGCTGGAAAAGGCTTCCAGTGCTGCTGCCCCAGAGCCTGTACCTACTACTACAGCTCCCAGGCAACCAGTGGGTTTTACCATGCACTGGAGAAGGCGGCTGCAGCTCCTGCTACTGTGGACCACTCCTTTGTATTTTGCCTTAAGTTTACACAGAGTCCCCCGGGGCCCTCTGATGTTCACTGGCTCTAATGGCAGTACCCAAAGGCAGCATGATTCATTTTGAAAAGCTTGAGTGACCCTCCAAATTATTTGAGTCTGTTCTGAGACATCTGGTTTCTATCTGCGGGGATGCTTCCTTCATCTTGAAACATACGGGCTTTGAGTCACACATCGCTAATCCAAAATGCCACCAGAAGCCCAAGATGCACTTTAAACCCCAGTTACTCCCAATGTGGGTGTCAAGTGATTCCTGCCTCCTGCAAATGTCCCAGCAGACATATTTGTGCCGTGTCTCACTGATGACATGTGGTTGGTGGAGAGAGTAACCCAGGCCCTCAGGACTCCATGGGGTTCCTTCCATCACTCATGGGGGTGGTTCCCTGAGGCATGAAATCCCTGGGGCCTCAGATACCCAATGGCCTTCCAACTCTGCCACTCTAGAAAAGAGTTCCAGGCCATCTATCAGTCCCAAGTGAGTCAGTGGGACCCAGATGGCTCAGCGGCTGTTTGGACTGTGTTTTTCTATTTCTTTGAAGAACCTGTAGATGTCTAATGCTTGGTCTGCTTTTCTGCTTTGAAGTCAACAGATACAGCACAGGCGATGGAGAATGGGCTGGTGAGTCTGCACGCCTACACCGTGACTGGGGCCGAGCAGGTAAGGCTGGCTGCTGGCCTGTCCAGCTCTCCCCTGGCCTCTGCCTCAGCATTCCTGTTCCTTTCAATAGGGGCCAGAATCACATGAAAGGCCAACAAAGATGAAATGAGGATTTATCACCCTTGCCCCCATCATGACATGCACCATGGACAGCCTCAGCTCCTTCTGTTCATCCAGAAGTTCTGACTCCCACTGTCTTCCTTTCCGGGAATCCACCAGAGACTTTGCTGTCCTGTTGCTGATCTCAGACAGCTCTGAGTGTCTATCTAAACTGGGAGATTAGCCCCAAAGGAGGTAGAATGAACTACCCAGTTGACTCCAGGGGGGACGTTTTGCCCTGAAAGGGGTTTTATTTGTTACATGCAAGCTAAATTGCTATAACAAAGATACTCCAAAATATAGGGTCTTAAGACAAAGTACATTTCTCTCTCAGGTAAGCAGGTGATGCCAGGACTAGTAGGTGGCTCTGGCATCTCCACATGGGGCTTCCACCCATAAGCCCAAGACAGCTGCTCTAATCCCTTATCTCCCAGCCAGAGGAGAGAAAGAGGCCAAGGGACACTCATATATCCATACAGAAGGCATGAATTGGAAGAGGCATGCATCATTTCTCTCACATCCCATTAGTCTAAGCTTAATTATGTGACCACACCAAGGCCAAGGGAGGCTGGGACATACACTGTAGGCCCAGATAAAACTTTATTCTCATGGAAGAGGGGGAGGTTGGCGCTGGAGGACAATCGTGCTCCTCAATGGAAAAATTGACTCTGGCTGGACAAAAATGTATGTAATCACTGTGTGCAGTATAATTTGGCCTGGAAAACACTACTGAAGTCCAACTTTCTCCGTTCATAAAGAAAGAAGCTGGGGCCTGATAGGAAAGATGTCTTTCACGAGGTTAGACAGATGGCACCTGGGAGATAGCTGGCCTGGACACGCTGTCTCTTTAGTGTCTGTCTACACTTGTCACCACACTTGCGGTGACAGCACTTCCTGGCCATGGGATGGTTTCCTGCAAGTGTTCCTCGGTCTCTGTATTTTCCACAACACTTGAGGTCTAATAATGTCTTCTAAGCCCTAAGAGACCGAGTTCCAAACTCTAGGGCACATCATTTCTCCCAGGACTTTATGGACCGAGGACTGCAGAGCATCAGGCTCTATGTGTGGCTTTCTCATACTTGCCTGGCCTCTCCTCCTTTCCCACATGTCCTTCCTCTCTCTATCCATCTGTCTCTCTTGTCCATGGACCTGAGGCCAGTTGTTCCATTGTTTCACATTTTGATCATTGTCCCAATCACAAAACCAAGACAATATCTCCTGTCTCTAATGAATGCTTTTTGTACAACAGGTAATTGTCCAAAATTGACCTTGGCACTTCCAGATTCATGGAAAGAGAGCTATTATCAATTAGTAATATCTATTTGGGGCATGAGATGAGGAAGTCAGGTACCTTTGCAATGTATTTGCCATTCTTGGACAAGATCCTTTTTATACATTGAGCTAGCCTTTTTTTCTGCTCTGAACACAGGGGAGAAGGGACTCGTGTACCCAGAGGTCCAGATGACCTTGGAGCATGAGTCCCCGCAGAGGCTGGCTGTGGAGACGGCAGTGACTGCTGGGTTGCAGAGCAGCTATGTGAACATCTAGGGTGACAGAGGGGAACTCGGGAGTCCAAGTGCTGGCTCAGCTGCAGTTTGGGCTCCTGATCATGACACCCACAGCTCGAACATTTGTGCCCCCATAGTGTACACTTGGAATTGTTTTAATAATATACTGAGTGGTCTAAACAGAACACCTCCCCTGGGAAGACAGGTGATCAAGACCGCATGTCCTGTGTAATCCGTCCCTGCTCCACCATTCCATGCTGCTGACACTTCACAGAACGTGTTCTAAGAAGCACTAGCCTCTGAAAATGGGTTTCCAAATACTTTTGGAAAATGCCACTCACTATATCCCCTCCTTGGCGATTCAGAGTGTACATTTGCATTTTAAAGACTCCAAGAGGCCTGTATGAGCAGTGCAAGCCCTGCTGGTTTTTATTGTACCATTAGTCACAAAACCATTTTTGCTAGGAATAACTATTAATGGCCAATGGAACTGGCATTCAGGATAGTTCATTTGAGGAAGTACTATTGCAGGGTAGATAACTTGGGTTACCTCCTGCCCAGTAGCACCTTTCCTGAGTGCTGAGCAGGGTCAGAGGCAGAGTCAGCGGCCAGGGAGTGAAGAAGCACGTGGCCGGCCCATTCTTAGGTGTAGCCATGGCCTTGGCCTCGAGTGTGACCCCTGCACCCCCAGACCAAGGCCCATGCCGGCACGAATGGGTCACTGCCATAAAGGAGGGACACAACCAAGAACTTGAGTTGGTTAAAGACTCCTCCTCCAGAGAGAGAAGGTTATAACTCTGAACCACAAGTGCTAAGATTAAAGCAGCCCATAAATGTGGCATACTTTTTAATCTGCTCATCCTCCCTCTAGGCAGGACACAGACAGGAAGATAAATGAAATTGGCATTTTTTTATTATGCACTTAGCTCAGTCGGCGATTCCCTTGGGCAAAGGGGTGAGTGTTTATCTGCATGCCTCACTTAGCCCTGCTTCCAGCCCCTTTGAATCGCAGGTTGATTTTCTCCCCCATGCCCACCGGAGCCCCTGAATATCCATGAGACACTGAGCATGGCTCATTAAGCTATTTGGGGCACCAGGTGACCATTTCTTGTGTCCTTGCTCCATGGGCTCTGTCAGGTGCTGGGAGTTAACAGTAAACTGTGTGCAAGGCTTGGGGTGCCTCAGGGTAGGGCAGATGGGGTGGGAAAGCTGGGTTTGTGCTTCTTGGAGGCATTGAAAGTGAGAGCCCCTTCTGCTGAGGTACTGGCCAGGGAGCGGTGCAGACAAGGGAAGCAACAGAAAACAGCCTTTTCCGAGCCAGGCTCCTGGGCCCGTGTGTGACGGTACGGCTCCTGCACAGCAATGCCCCACTGGTGAGCATGGGCATTGACCAGGTGGCTCAAGGGTCACAGTCGAGGCCAAGGGCACAGCTACATCCAAGAATGGACCTTTACTCTTGCCCAATTCCAAAACTAGGAGCCAGGACTTTGGAAACTGACCATGGCTAGATTGGAATTCTGCCTCTGCCGCTGTCTTAGCGATCTTGAGAAAGGTGCTTAGCTTCTCCCGTGCTGTTTCCTTAGCGCATGTTAGCCGGCACCTAGCTCTGAGCCCTGCCTCCACCTGCGGCTTCTCTTCCACACAGTGATAGTCTGTTCTATCCAGAGTGTTGTCCTTCTTCTCTGACCAAGAATCAGGGAGCAAGTTTGCCCCTTTCCTCACCCCTCTGGGCTTCTGTCTCCTCAGACAACATTAGCACAGATCGATATCACAGCTACAGCTCAATCATATTTTAATTCCTCTCGCCACGCTGAGGGCTGCCGGCTCCCGGGGATGCAGGTTCAAGGGTTGGCTGCTGTGTTGTCATTTTCTCACAGTTCTGCCCTCTGGCTTAAGTGGTGTGAGGGAGCAAAGGGGTAGACCTCCTTATCTGAAGTGCGGTGAGGATGAGTAACCCCAGACAGGGGGCAAGGAGAGAAGAAAGGAAGGAGGAAAGGAGGGAGAGAGAGATGAGGGAAGGCAGGGGGTAAAGAAGGAAGGGAGGGACGGAGGGAGGAGAAAATCGAGGGAGGGAGGAAACAAGATAAGAAGGAAGGGGAAGAGAGAGGAAGGAAGAGACAGACAGGAAGAGAGGAAGGGAGGAAGGGAGGGAGAGAGAAAAGGAAGGAAGGAAGGAAGGAAGGAAGAGAGGGAGGGAGGGAAGGAGAGAGGGAGGGAGGGAAGAAAGGAGGGAAAAATAGGAGCAGGGAAGGGTAAAAGGATAGGAGCAGGGGAGGGAGAAAGGAAAGAAACAGAAGGAGAGAAGAAAGAAAGGGAGGGAGGGAGGAAAAGGAAGGAAAGAAGGGAAGATGAGAGGGAGTAAGGGAAAGAAGGAGGGTAGTAAGGGAGTGAAGGAAGAAGGGAGGGAGAAAGGGAAAGAAGGAAGGAAGGAAGGGAAGAAGGAAAGGGGAGCGAGGGAGGGAGGGAGGAAAGGAAAGGGAGGGAGGAAAGGAAAGGGAGGGAGGAAAGGAAAGGGAGGGAGGAAAGGAAAGGGAGGGAGGAAAGGAGGGGGGGAGGGAGGGAGGAAGGGAGGGAGGGAGGAAGGAAGGGAGGGAAGGAGGGAAAGTTCAGGCCATTGTTGGCCATCTTCTCTCAGACTGAGGTATCTCATCAGCTCTGGGATGCAGGATGAGGAGGGCTAGCCCCGGCTATCTTGGTTCACAAGCCATCTCAGTCTTGCTCAAATCTGCCTCCTCTACCCTCCTCACTCACGACAGTGCTGTTGAGACTGCTCCATAGCTCCCACTGGGCTGCCGGCAGAGAATGAGGCTGTGTCTGTGGAACAGAGATGCCATCCATGACAGGGCTTGGAGGAGGCTGGGGACCCATAAAGTTTTCCTCTGCAGCCCGAAGCAACATCCCCTGCTGTTTATCTGCTATTAAATCTCAACTCACTCAGGTTCTGGGATGCAGTCTTAAGGAATGATAAAGTTACATCTGCCCTTGTGAGGGGCTGAGCGGAATGAGGGGCCATTTCCTCGTCTATCTCCTTCCAATGCTGTGCAGGCAGTAGAGAGACATTGATTTTTTTTCCTTTCAATTTTTTCTGGTTGCAGCCAAATGAGGTCAGAAGTTAAATTGGTCCTTGGAGGTAAAAAGCAGCTGCATTCATCCCCCTTTCTGCTGCCTTTTGCTGTAGAGCACTGACAGTTTCCTTTTCTGTTTTCTTTACAGATTCAATACAGAAGGGGCTGGGAAGAAATTATCTCCCTGTGGAACCCCTGGGGCTGGGGCGAGACTGAATGGAGAGGGCGCTGGAGTGATGGGTATGGCTTCAGGAAACCTCTCTCCATCCTTCACAGAGCGTTTGGTGTTGGTAGAGCCTCCTGCCCATGAGAGCAGGGGTTGTCTCGTCGCTATGCATCTCACCGCAGGCCTGTCCAGCTCACACCTACACGTGGTTATCAGGGTCCATCTCACGCTCCTGTGATGCCATCTGCCAAGCAACTATGAGGCACCTACTGTGTACACCCTGTACTAAGTGCACTGTGTTAAGCGGGTGCTGTGAGGTATATATGGATGACAAGACCCAGTGCCCACCCTCCAGAAGGTTACAGTCTACAGCAGGGAATGCACATGCCCAGAATTAGTAAAAGAGGCGGGAGGTAGGGCAGGCAGGAGCCAAGCCCCGACTTGGCAAGACATTGATGGAGAGAAGGAACTGCCTCCCTTGGAGGGACCCATGGAATTCTGATCCTGAGCATGTCACATTATCAGGGTGGAAAAGGTGTCCTAACCGGGGGCAGTTGGGGAAAGTGATGCAAAGATCTGGATGATGTTTTTGTCCAATCTACTCAGCTCTCCAGTCTTGCCCTGCTGCTCCGGATGCCTATGAGTACTCAGTGCCTGGGATGTAAATGATAAAGCTGCGCCTCTCCACATTTAAATCAGGAGGCACAGGAGCTAAGACATCCCATGGGGGGCCCAGCTGTGTGGTCAGTGCTTTCCCCAGGGAACTGGGCTGGCATTTCCCAGCTGCCAGAGGAGTGGACCCCTAGGCCGCCAGCCCCTTGCTGACTGTGAAGGAGACAGTGGTCCTGAGAGGACAGAGGGGCCGCAACAGGTTACTTGCTCCTCTGGGCAGCCAGCAAGGCTCAGCCCGGTCGCACTCCTCCAGGGGTCTGTGTCCATCCGTGAAAAGTGTGGTGACACAGCAGCTGCTGCATCGTCGCCAGTGGGGCTGGGGGTGGGGAACTTGATCTGAAAGGAAGTGCAATCCGTTCAGACAAACAGGAATGGGCCCAGCACACAGTGAAATCAATACAGTGAGGACGGTGCGTCCTGGAGGCGAATGCAGAGCCAGCCAGTTCTAGACCTGATGCCCCAGGGTAAGCTGTGGCAGGACCGCTCCAATCTCCCATGACCTTGGCACCCTTGGGCACTCAACCAGTGTGGGATGAAAGTATGATTGGGATGGAGGGCGAGGTAAGCAGAGATGGAAGGTGGGAGGAAACAGCACAATGAATTCCTAGAATAAACCTAACTGTGACCTCAGACGCCCCTGGGAGAATCGGGCAGTCAAACCTCCCCAGTTTCTCCTCTCTCGCCTCTATTCTTTCTTCCTTCCCAGGTGTATCCTTTGTGCTTTCCAATATAAATCCTAATAACCTCTGTCCTTTTCCAGTTCTCCTTCCCAGTCATTACTCCAAGTTGCCAAATATGGCCCAGAGTGTGACAGGATCAGCCAGCACCCCTGATTTGAGGCTGCCTGTTGGGATAGAAGTAGAGGGAAGGCAAATGACAATGACAGATTCCCTAGGGTAGAAGAAGAGGCAATATATTCGCAATTGATATTTTGCCCATGTTTCCCATGCTAAATATCAAGTGACCAGTCAAGGCAACAGGGGACACCAGGGTTTGGGGAGAGAAGCATCCCATGAGCTGGCATGTTCAGGGAAAGCTTCATGGATGGGACCGAACTTGAGTTGGCCTTGTGGTGGAGGAAGTATGACTCACTTCAGAAGAGATCACTAGATAGGAGGGGGACGCATAGGCTATGGCACCCCTCTGGGAACATCGATAGTCTGTTCAGGGCCAACAAACTGGCCTGAGGCAGAGGAAGCTGAGAGAGAGAATGCTGGGAGCCGACACCAGACAGCCTGATGCCGGAAGTCTGGATTTATCCCCTACAGGCATGGGCATAAAGGAAGGCTTTTGACCATGGCCGTGATGTGTGCAGAGCAGGGACGGGGGGAGACGGATCTAGCAGCACCTGCTCTGTCGGATCACATATTGTATCCTCAGCTGACTGCTGAGGGTCACCACTTTGCACCAGAAACCAGGCTGGAAGGAAGTGACGGGGACTGCATAATCACTGTCTCCAAGCAGGTGGTTGATTTCTTCCCTACTTTTTAGGAATGGAGATGGATGGAGAGAACCAGATGGTCTAATCTCAGCCATAATTGAAATTTCAGTTGCACACACTTAAAGGCAAACTTGTATGAATCGATAGCGTATTGATTTACACTACAATTATTCTCCCTTACACACTGCAGAAAATGTAATTATCGCTTAATTATAAAATTGCCATTTTACAATACCACATCTGACTGCCTCAGCCCTGCAGCTGGAAGCCTGAGTGGTGGCCCCTGCCTTGCTGTCCTAGCACAGAGGGGACCCAGGCTCCCCATGCAACCTCATCCATGAGAAAGGTCTCATTGAGCTTTTGTGCCCCTGAAACCCATTGCCTACAAGCATGCCTCCCCTCTAAGGAGTGGGCTGAAGAAGGGGCAGCTGCTGCCTTCTGCTTGTGAGGGTCTCTTCCTCGCCAGAGACCCAAGGACTGGCTTCTGGAACATATTGTTCCAACGAAGTGGGCAGCATTAATTAATTAAACAAACAAAAAATCACTGTGTGCTATTAGGCATGCAATTACTTTTGCACCCACCTAATACATGCCAAGGCATGGGCAAAACACCTGCGATGATAGGATGGCCAGCCAGGCTCAGCAATCTCATGGCTCTGGGAGTCTAGTGAGGCATAGCAACCAATACACAAAGTAACAGTAACACAGCAGACTATGGAAGCTCAAAAGACCTAGAACAGAGGGAAGTTGGGGGCCAAGCAGGGCTTCCCAGAGGCAATGCCCTTTAAGAGGAAAGATGAGTAAGGGCAGGTTACAGAACTAAAAGGAGGAAGAGGGCGCCAGGTGCAGCGAGCATCAGGGTGAAAGTTGGGGGTGCAGGGGGTGTTTTAAGGAAATGAAGGCACTATTGCTGGAGAATAGAATTCAAGAGTGGAGGTAAGGTGAGGAAGCAAGAAACTGGTAACATCAGAGAGGGTGGCAGAGGCTGAGGTTCTCTTTAAGGAGTGTGAACTTTACCTTGAGAATAATATGGAACCACTGATAGGTTTTAAGCAGGGAAATAATATAATCAAGTTTACATTTTAGAAAGATCATTTCAATGGCAGTGTGAGGAATGGATGGGAAAGTGGGCAGAACTGAGTTCAGGGAGACCAGGTGGACATCCAGAGGGAAGGGCAGGGAGCCTGAACTGGGGTAACAGCAGGAGGGATGGAAATAAGTGCCTGGCTTTGAGAGGGGTTTAAGAGGTAGGATCAATTAATGAATGCTATTTGATGATTGTTTGGATGTGTGGGTGTGACAGAGGGACTCCTCATGTTCTCACTCAGGCAATAGGAGGTGGCAGAGGATGGGTATGGTCAGGGACAGGTTGATTTGGGGTCTCTATGGGACTCTGTTGGAGATGTGGGGTGAACTGCAACATAAATCCATCTAGACCTCAGGAAAGAAGACCAGGCTGGGGACAGATGTTTGGAAGTCGTCAACAGGTAGAGAATAACTGGGTCCTGTCCTAGGTGGAATGACACTTGCCATGTGCTCCCCAGGAACTAATGGTGACATGTACAGAGGGTCCCTGTTGACCCACACATGGTTGAGAAAAAATGCACTGGAAAATCTCACCCTGTGGTTTGTTTGTCCATGTTCAGGTCTCAGGAGTGGGAGGAAACCCGTGACCCGCGGAAAAGCCAGCTACATAAGAAACAGGAAGATGGAGAGTTTTGGTATTTACCCTTCTTATATAACGGTGTTTTAAATCTTTAACTATTGCCCAAGTCTTCAATCCCTACCCTTTTCCCTAAACATTTATGAAGATGGAAAATAGCTTTGCAGAGACCTGTTTAGAGGGAGCCTATTTTCTCTACCAAGACACAAAAACTTTGGATGAAAAATTATTGTAGGCTCCCTCTTGGTGGGAAAGTTATTTCAGTTATGAAATGCAGAACTTTCCAGGATATTTTAATAGTAAAAGAGAATATTGGCACCAAAGGCTTGAAATCTGTGGTTTCCTGGAAGCTAGGATGCATGGTTGTCATGCCCATCTCTTCTGTACCATCTTGCTGGGACCCTCGAGCTCCCCAGTTTCCTCTAGTGTGACCTCAAAAACAGCAGCAGGATGCAGACTCTGTAGCTCTGGGTGAGACATTGGCTTCATCACCCAGAAGTCACGCAGGACTAGATGTTTTGAGAACACATTCTTGGCCATATGCTCACATCTCAGAGCATGACCTGTATATTCCTCAGAGGGTTGTCTGTTTTACTGAGTGATGTATTTCAATGAAAATCAGCATGTGTGGAAAGGAGCATGGGTCTAAATAATTAAGAATCAGAGGGACAAATATAGATTAGAAGGAAATCTTTCCCAGTGTCTCTGGTTTAATCACAGTAGGAGATGGGATTTTAGGTGTGGAATCCAATTTTAGGCTGATAAAGACCTCAACAATAAATTTGGCAGAACACCCTAGGGTAAAAACAATTTTCCTAGCAGCTTAGAGAACCCAGAGCAGACAGAGAATGGCAGTCATCCCACTGACCATGAAAGGGCTCACCATTGGATCAATGCGTTAAGGAGATGGCAGTTAATGATAAAGCTTCTGCCTGGTGACAGGCAGACCCCAGAACGTGACTGTGTCCTTGCTCTCCCAGCCACTGGAGCAGAAGGACTGAAAACACAGAAGGGTGCTTGATGGTGAATGAGCCAGGTTCAGACATTGGTCTCTGGGCAGGACAGTGGCTATGCTGTAAAGTCATAGGAACCCCCACCCTGGGGACACAACCACTAGTCACTGAGTGATGTATATCTGTTTTTAACAGGATGTCATGTCAAGATTTCCAACAGAAATTCGTCTCCATGTTTATATGTAGCCAAATTCCAATTACCCTGGACCATGGAAACACACTCCACGAAGGATGGTCCCAAATAATGTTTAGGAAGCAAGTGATTCTAGGAAACACTACAGGTAATGATGACACGGGTGGTCACACTGCCCAACTGGAAGCTGGCTGCCCCAGCCCAGCCCTGCCATGGCTTCAGCTCTCTCTGGCCCTTGATTCTGGGCCATGAGCCTGAAGCTGAAAGGAGGGGAGTTTGTCAGCATGAAGAGACTGTGACTGCTCCTCCAAGTAAAATGATTGCTGGTAGGGGCCAAGCAGGAGAATCGCTGATGTGATTCTCCTACAGCCCTCCATGCTGTGCCACTGTCCTTCCACTAACCCCCTCCTGCTTCCTGGGAGGAGGGCAGGCTCACCACCTTCCAGTAAACATCCAGGACAAGGGGGAGGGCTGCAGAAGGAACACAGGAAAAGAGTTGGGGCCTAGGTTGGACCCTTGTCTTTGCCACATACTGGCCTTGTGATGTTGGAAACATAATTGGTCACCCTGTCCTCAGCCTCCCCAACACTCAGCAGTGGAATTAGTCATACCTGTCTGTCCTTGAGCCTAGAGAGCACCACCCAGACACAAGGGAGACTATCCCTGCCCTGTCTTGGCAGGTGTGTCCCTGCTGAAGTCCCACAGATAGGCGCCTCTGAGCCCATCTTTGAGCTCCCCTGAGATGAATCTTGTTGATCATGGCCTTGGGAAAGTCACATTCCCTCCCTGTACCTCCCATTCCCTGTTCGTGGCATTGATGAGTGAAAGAGCTCCCTGTGAAGAGGAACCAGAGTGTGCTTATACATGCTTGATAGAAGAGACTGCGTAAACAATGCATTTGTGTGTGTGAGTGTGTTTGTTGTGTGTTTACACCCAGGGATGTGTATGCATCCTTTCCTCTGGGCACCTGCCTGTCGAGATGGTTTGTTTGAATGAGCCCATACCCCAGGGTGTCCCTCTTTTTGACCTCCAGGCTCTAGTGATCTACAGAACTGCTGCTCAGAGAACCTTGTCACCAGGAGGTCTTGGGCAGAACCTCAAGAGCTGCTGAGTCACTCTTGGGCAGCAAATTTACTGATTCCTCTTCCTGAGCTACGCCTCTCTGATTATAGGGCCAAGGCCCTCTCCCCTGGATACAGTGCTTATCAATGAACTAACAAAACCTGTACATCAGGGCCGTTTTCAGTAATACCTTACAATGGAAAAAGAAAAGGGAGCCAGTGATCGAGTACCTGCATTTTAATGCACCGTCTTATCCAGTCCTCACGGCACGTCCATGCTATGATGGTCCTCTACGCCTCCCCACTCCCTTGCAGAGCTCCCCCATTGTCAGTCCAATCTTCTGATGTGTATCAATTCATCTCTATCTTGATTTATCTTCATTCTTCCATGTATTTGAATCTAATGGTTTTCACATTAGCTCGCTCTCTCTTGTTCTGGCTTTGATAAGCATGCTTGGTTAGAAGAGTACAGCAATTGCCATCTCTCTGCCTGTTTTCCTGTCTCTAGTTGTGCTTGGGTGATTCATGCCATTTCAAGGCTCTGATGGTTACCACCAATGCAAAAGTTCACATGTAGCTGGGAACTCTGGAATTTCACTTATCATTATAAAATAGACTTTGACTTTACAGTTTAAGAAACATTTTTCACACAGTGGGGACTATACAACCTTTCCTGTGTTTAAGAGGAGGAAGCCAAGGTTTAGAAAATAAACTTGTATCTCAAGTAGTAACTGTGGGGATTAGGACCCAGGCCTTAGGTCTCCAATCCAGAGTTTACAACACAACCCCACAGAGCTCTCTGCACTGGACATGGTCCTGCCCGGGATTCCCAGTAGTGAAGCTGAGCTCTAGTAACAGCTCTATCTGATGCAGGAGGACTTCGGAATGATGCTCAATTCAACTTTTCTGTGCAAGAGCCAATGGAAGGCACCAATGTTGTCATCTGCATCACAATTGCTATCACGCCACCAAATTTGAAGGCAGAAAATGAGAAACTTCCACTCAATTTCCAAGTGATTCCGGTAAGGCAGCCTGCTTCAGGGCTTTCCCTTTTAGAAATTCAGTGTAAACCTTGAGTTGGGGAGAACAGCTTTGGCCATGCTGGGAGATTTGACTATACCACAGCCTTGGAGACAAAGCCCAAAGAGGCTGTAGCATTCATCCAGTCCAAGGCTAAATGTGCAAGAAATCTGAGGCCAGAGAGATGACAATCGACCATAATTACAGTGGGACTCACCTCCTGCCTGTGTCGCTTGTCAGCGTTTTCTGGGACGCTGTAGAATCTAATGCTTGCTACTCAAAAAGTGGTCTGGGCCAAGACTAGCTGTTCTAACAAAGCAGATTCTGGGCTTATTCCAGACCTTCTACATCAGAATGTTTAAGGACAGAGCCTGAAAATCTGCATTTTCATAAGCTCTCCAGAAGCTTATGCACATTAAAGTTTGAGAATAATTGGCTAAACTTTGGAAGTTGTTTGGGGGGGTGGGGGAAGCTGTCTAAACTGTTCTGAGTATAAATCCAAGAGGTGTGTTTTTCTCTCATGTTTAGACCAAAGTCGAGTCATAGTTTGGTGGTTGGCATGCAAACTTCTCCTTGGCTATTCTGAGGCCAGGTTTCCCCTCCACCTGGGCTCTCTCTCTCCTTTCATGGTTTTGGTTTTATGAAACTTTTATTTTAGGTTTGGGGGTACATGTGAAGGTTTCTTACATAGGTAAACACGTGTCATGGGGGTTTGTTTTATAGATTATTTCATTTCCCAGGTATTAAGCTCAGTACCCAGTAATCAACTTTTCTGCTCTGCTCCCTCCTCCCACCCTCCCCCCTCTAGTAGATCCCAGTGTCTGTTGTTTCCTTCTTTGTGTTCATAAGTTCTCATTATTTAGCTCCCACTTATAAATGAGAACTTGCAGTATTTGGTTTTCTGTTCCTGTGTTAGTTTGCTAAGGATAATAGCTTCCTGCTCCATCCATTTTCCCAGAAAACATGATCTCGCTCTTTTTGTGGCTGCGTAGTATTCCATGGTGTATATGTACCACATTTTCTTTGTCCAATCTGTCACTGATGGGCATCTAGGTTGATTCCATGTCTTCGCTATTGTGAATAGTGCTGCAGTGCACACTCACATGCATATGCCTTTATCGTAGAATGCTTTATGTTCCTCTGGGTATGTACTCAGTAATGCAATAGCTGGGGGAATTCATTTTTTAAAAATAGCATTTAAAAGAAAAAAGCTACAAAAGAACATCTGATATCTCTACTCCCTGCTATTCCCCCAAACAATTCAGTGCATCCCCCAAGTCAAGTGAAGGTTCTCAAATCATACACCCCACGGCTTCTTTGCACTAATGTGGATATTTAAGATCATGCACTTATCACATGCTGGGATCCTCTCTCCTCATAATAGAGTTGAAGAAAATGAGGCCCCAAAAGGTGAAGTGACATGGTCAGAGTTAATGGCAGAGCTGAGATTGGCTTTCAGAGGTTCCCTAAGCCTTCAGTCAAACACACAAGTCACCTTTCTGAGCACCAGGAATATCAGAGGTCCTTTAACAGACTGGGCTGGAGCTTGAATTACAGCGTCTCTAGAAATGATTTCAGTTTCTGTTCACTGAGCTGAAGGCAAAATTCACAGCCTTGAGTGTCAGTGCATTTATGGACAGACAGGGGCTCCTGGGTACCCGGACATGGCTGAACAGTCCTGTGCATTGGCTGTGGTTCACACTAATAAGAGGGCCTCACGGTGAGAGAATACGGATCGTGTCTCTCTTATCAGAAATGCTTTGGACCAGAAGTATTTCACATTTGAGATTTGGAGGATTTTGGAATATTTGCAGTATATACTTACTGATTCAGCATCTCTAGTCCAAAAGCTCAAAATCCAAAATGCTCCAATGAGCACTTCCTTTGAGTATTATGTCGGTGTTCAAAAGTTTTGGATTTTGGAGCATTTTGGATTTCAGATGTTCGGATTACGGATGCTCAACCTGTACTTCAGAAGTACAAGCATGTTCACATTCATTGTCTCAAAAGCCCAATTAGCCCCACTTTTGTAGTTGTGGAAGCTAAAGCTCAGAGAGGAATGACCTATCCAAGGTGCACCTTGGAGGTGACAGGGGCATTTGATCCCAGGACTTAGGGTCTCAGGCCCAGGGCTCTCGGTAGGGCTTAGGAGCATGCCTTTCTGATGATACTCATGGCTCCAAAACCCACAAAGAGCAGGAAAGCTTTTGTGTTCTGCTCTCCTTGACCATATTTCCATTTCCCAATTTCGGCAATTTGGTGGAGAGACATTGCTGGAGTTTAGCAGAGTAGTTTTGAGGTGCCTCAAACCCTCTGATGCTATCAAAGAATATCTCTTAAGGATGCAGTAGTACACAGTTGTCATTTTCATCACCACCTGGTACCTGAACACTTTTTCCACCTTAGGGGAGTCCTGGTGGGAGGCAGGGCCCAGCCTCCTACTGCAAGCAGCTAGAGGCCAAATATTCCCTCAACCAAGCCCTTGGATGCAAAAGTTGTAGACTTGTGACCCAGGCTTGCCCAATTAGATGCTCCCTTCATCTCCCCCTCACCCCTCATACATACACACACACACACACACACACACACACACACACACACAGTCACTCAGAGCCTTGGCACTCGAGGAAATAACTAAAATAGGTGGGAACAGCTGAGGATTATTTGCTGTGTATCCTTCTTGTCTGGCCCCTGCCCACCTCTGGGCTGCATTTTCTAGCATCCCATCGACTCTGTGAGCTTTTCTTCTAAGAAGCACCTTTCAGCCCACCCCAGCCTGCGTTAGTTTCCAGGGCTTTCAGACAAGAATTCCTGCTGACTCAGGTGCCTTCTAAGAGGACCCTCATCCTCAGATTCTCCAGCTCTCACCTCTGGGAAGAAAAGGCTGGAGGCAGAGGGAAAGATTTGGGAAAGGCTGAGAAGGAACTGAGGCCCCTAGTCTGCCCAGCCAGGATTGACCAGGTCAAGCACCAAAGAGGCCTACTAGAAACATCTCAGCCAACTCTTCCGTCTGAGCCAAGACAGAAGCCCAGAAAAAGATCACAGCTGCCCCAGCACACACACAACTTCCGAGGCTCTGTTCACACGGGTGACCATGGGCCTTGTGTTGATTCATCCAAAGTCTTCACAGTTCAGGAACCCTACTGAGACTGTAACTACACCATTTTTAAAATGATATCAAACCCACTTCCCTACTTTTCTGCCAGAGATGTGTTACTTCTCACCATTCCCCAATTTGCTAAAAGAACACTCAGACCCAAGAGCTCCTCAGGCTTCCTGGAGATCCCAGCAGATCTTGCAAGATCCTGATTGAGTTAAACAGCAAAGAACAGTTCAGACCTGGACAACTCAAATGATATGGGTTGCTTTCACAGTTCAGCTGAGAAACAGCAATGTACCTGCCAGCAGCCAGACTCTCAGAAGACTCCAGGGCTCACATGGTGTCTGTGGCTCCAGTGCTGCCCTGCTGATATGATGATGCTCCAGCCCTGGCATGGGCCTGTGACTCCCCAGCTTCTGTGGGAGCACTGCTCTGCTTTACATCCAACTAGACCCTGATGGGGTATGAATAGGCAGGGAGAAGACAGGACAGTGAAAAGCATGAGGGTGAATGAGCCAATTCATCCTCACCTCCCTCAGAGTTCCTCCCCAAGGCCTGGACTTTCCACCTTCCTCTCAGCTCACCCTTGGCCTCCAGATAAGTCGGCCTGGGAAAACTGAGAGGTCTGTAAACATGGGTGGGGCCCAGGGTCAACAGTGGAAAAGAATCAAGCCAACTAAGGAAGACATCACCTGGTGGTGACAGGGCTTGATTGCCAAGCAAGCAGCACAGCTTGCCCTGTTCCCAACTCTGCTACTTAAACTGCTCAGCCTCAATTTCTACACCCATAAAATAGGGAGCTCAGCATCGGCTTGCAGGATTATTGTGAGTATCCGATACATTACATACAAGTGCTTTGCAAACTGTAGAGAGGCTTTTAATGGAACTGCATCCTCAAGTATTCCTTCTACTACATGAAGACTGGAACATGGGTATCTCCCCATTCATAGGCACACAGACATTCCTACAAGCATTGGGGGTGGGGGTGCAAGAACAAATTCCCATCTATTTACAGTGGTCTGATGGACTAAAAGAAGTTGACTTCTTAAGGAAGCTCCCGATGTTAGGGAGTTTACATTTGCACCAGGTTCTGTGCCATCTGCAGGCCCTGTCAAACTCTCCCCCTTCCTTCCAATGCAATCATCATTGCTGTGAAGAGTAACCACACCTTGCTGGGCCGACCAAAGAATACCTCCTCCTCTCAGACACCTCCTTTTCTGCCTCAGTTTCCTTCCTCTTGCTGTTCTCTGCAACTGAGTGGGTTTCATTTCTTACAACCTCACACAGAGAATGGGTAACCAGTCATCCCAGTTCACCTCTAGGTGTGCCAAGGAACAGGCAGGCCACACAAGGAAGAGGAACATGTTCCACTTACACATTTTTTGAGGTTATCCCCATTGATCCATTCCATAAAGCTATCAGAGGAAATCGTGACACCTAGTGGATCACCAAATCAGTCCACAAGCGCGGGATGTGTGGGCTCACATCTTCAGGCTGCAAGAGCCACGGCCTTGGAAAGGGCCGTAAGTTCTACCACACTATTGGTGGTTCTCACCATGCAACTTGGAGAAGGTGCAATATTCTCCAACTCCAATGTTATCACAGATATAAGTAACGTTTGTAAAATTCATACCTAATAAATTTAGGAAGTCATGTCTGCTTACAGCTATTATGTGTCTGTTAAAACTAGTTTGTAGATTGGTCCATGGATGCTTTGTCGGATCATGAAAGTTAGAGTGCAACAGTGTTTGAAGACTCTAAGTGATGGTGTATCTTGTTTCTAATAAGAAAAATTTCTTTTGTCTTTACTTCATCTTATTAGAAAGTGGTATGTCAGTGTTTAAAACAGGCTTTGTGGCAGCTGGGCATGGTGGTTCATGCCTGTAATCCCAGCATTTTGGGAGGCCAAGGCAGGCGGATCACAAGGTCGGGAGTTCGAGACCAGCCTGGCCAACATGGTGAAACCTCGTCTCTACTAAAAATACAAAAATCAGCCAGGCATGGTGGCATGCACCTGTAATCCCAGCTACTCAGGAGGCTGAGGCAGGAGAATCGCTTGAACCCAGGAGGCAGAGCTTGCAGTGAGCAGAGATCGCGCCATTACACTCCAGCCTGGGTGACAGAGCGAGACTCTGCCTCAAAAAAAAAAAAAAAATGCTTTATGGCAGGCATAATAAGTATAAAATAAATTCTTTGAAAGAGGAAGAAAAGGTGGAGGAATGCAGGGATGAAACCAATGAGCCATGCTGTTCAGTTCTGCTTGCCTTTTTGTTTGGGTCTGAGTTCCTAAAACTGCCTTTCTCTTCTCCCTGTTTCCAACAGGCTGGCTCACAGGTATGGCTCAGCATCGTCCTTGCCCTGCACCTCTGCTGCCGTCCACCAGTGAAGTGTTAGGCCACTTCCAATGCCCGTGGCCTCCACGTGTTCAGTGGCTGCAAATTCAGTCTAAGTCTTACATTAGACACAGGCCTAGAATCCCCAAAGAGGTTCACAAAGCAGGAGAATATTTAGCTGTCCTGGTTTGAAGCTTTGACCCTTTGAGCTGTTCTCTTGTTAACATTCAAGTGAAACCATCCTCAGGACCATGGCCTCTGTTAGAGAAGATTGATGAAGCTGGTTCCTTTTAAGATGAGAGCAGCACTAAGGGGTACATTGGAAAAGATCTTCAGCCTCCTAAAGTAGTCAGTCCCCAAATCCTCCGTAAGTAGGATGCATGCTCTCCAAATGCGGCTTCAAGGTACATCCTTGAGCCCGTCTTGCGAGAAACCGCCACCCTCCTAAACAGATCATCTGGCTCAGGATTGGTGAAAGGCAACTTGCCCATATGAGGAAGGATGGAGAAGGACAGGTGGAGTTTGGAATACCTATCCTCACAGGCACTCAGACCTACCCCTCTGCCCATGGCTGAGAGCTCTGAGCCCCCAAGAGGGAGGTGCATCTGCCTGGGGGCCACAGATGAAAGCGGGGAGCAAGATGTGGCCACAGACAACAAAGAGTGATTACAGCACCTCCAGACCTTCCGGGGGAGCCTGCCTGTGACAGTGGTGGCCCAGCCACAGAGCTGGGGTCAGGATCTCACTCTAGTCCCTGACACCCCAGCTAGGTTGGGATGGGCATTGAGAGAAGCACTCAGGTGCAAGGAGCCATCAGCATCTCAGGCCCCAGAGCTGGAGAACAAAGTGGCACTTAATCCAGGAAAAAGCACAGGACCCATCCCTACAAGCTCAGAGTCGGGTCTGTGCATGACCAGTCTTGGGTTTGTGATTTGTTGATGCTGGGTACTCTGAGCAATGGACCAAGAACCCCCGCGTTGTTCCCCCACACTCACACTTCTCACTGCCACTGAGCAAGTCTGTTCTGAAGGATCAGGAGCCTGGACAGGGCTATGAGGGGCCAACAGAGGGAGCAGGACAAGATAATGGGTAAGTAGGGAGACCCTTGCCTTCTAATTGCAGGAGGCACACTGCCCACACACCTCTGCATGCCCACTGCCTCCCCTTGCACCCACACATGCATGCACCCTCGCCCATACCCAGAGCCACGGGACACTGCTGACCCTCTGGAGAAGAACTGATTCCATCATTGCTTTTGCCATAAGGGCGCAAGCAAGTCAGGCTCCCAAACCTGCTGAGGCTATTGTTAATGTCAGCAGAATTGCATTGGAGATGCCACCCAGCCATGCCCCTGGGGCAGTGGCCTATCTCCTGTTTCACCTTGGAGCCCAACCCTGTCCCTACTCCTGAAAAGAAACTTTCCCCTTTCCCGTGTTCCCCACAAGGCTTAGCTCATAAATAATCATTTCCTACTGCATAACCATTCGAAATGGAATCCCTATGCTTGACTGTAGTGAGGAAAATTTGTTTAGCAAGGGGTTTTTATTACATAATATGTATGTGACATCTGGTAATAGGAACTGCATTATATTTATTGTTTTATCTCTGAGAAAATATTGAAATAAAAGGAAAATGATCAGGGCCCATTATTCTCCAATGAGAAGGAATCTCGGGGCTTCGCTGGAGAGATGAAACAGAGGAAGTGAAAAGAATTCAATTCTGTAATAGTATAGCAGTCCAAAGTATTCTGCTAAACATTCAGGAGAGAAGGGGCTTCAGGGGCCCCGGAAGAAAATCAGTGTTGAAATGATGTCACTAGTTTCCATGGAGGTTTTCTTTCTATATAAGCAGGGAGAGAAAACTCAGAAACTCAGGATGCTGTTGGACTCAATGAGATAAAACTGTGTGTAGTATTTCCTTGCACCCATTGTAGTGTCCAGGGTCTAGATGAAACGACAGTCTAAATGCTACTGCTTTTTGAGAGTTCAGCTGAGCACCGTCTCCATTTATAGAACCTGTAATGTTATCTTGGTAAATGGAAAGGGTCTAGAAGGTGTTGGGTCTTTCTTGGTGCCTGGGGTCCATGCACAGAGGGAGCTTTCTCACAATAATTGTATTTCTTGTATTTCTTCTAATTCCAGAGGTTCCAGGAGAAATTTCCACCCGTGTTTTCTTCCCCGTTCGGAAACGTTGTCCAAAGCTCAAATAATAAATTCCGCCGCAATTTCACTGTGACCTACCATCTGAGCCCTGGGAACTATGTTGTGGTTGCACAGACACGGAGAAAATCAGTGGAGTTCTTGCTCCGAATCTTCCTGAAAATGCCAGACAATGACAGGTACAGAACCCTCTGGGATTCTAAATGTTTTATTCTATTTAACTTTATAAAAACGCGTTGTGTCGTTATGGGCTGTGCTCTGTGTATTCGCGCAGCATGTCACTGGGGATGCAATATTGGCCCCACTCTAGAGCAGCTCACCATAAAGGGGGAGCGAAAAAGTCTGTGAACCAAGAACCAGACCACAAACAGGATGGGGCCATTGCCAGATGGAAATGCAAAGTGGCACGGGAGGACTGAGTGGCAAGAGGGACAGAGAGAAATGGCACTTGAGCTGGCCTTTGAAGAAAAACACAATTTAATAGCTTAAAAGGGAAGGCGATGGTGGCCATGGGAAGGTGGGTAGAAGAAAAAAGCATGAATGGCAGCAGGGAAGTGCCTGTGCACAGGGCTGCTTGGAGAGTAAGTAGCATCGGCATCTATACAGGAAGGTGGCATATCGCCAGCATGTCACATGTCCTGAAATGTGGGGTAGAGCAGGGAGACAGTGAAAGATGGGCCTGAAAGAAAGAGTCCATCACAGAGGGTCTTCCATGCCAACTTGATCATTCAAGACTGCGACCAGCAAGTGCTCACGCTGCTGGGCCCCTTATCTCCTCTTGGGCCCAAGGCAGACATTGCCATCATTATGGCAGTCTTTGCAGTTGAGCATGGGTGAGACCTTCCAAGTCCAGCATGGCAGGCCGCCATCACACCACCAATCAGAGATGGAGCCTAAGGCAGAGCCTATCTGCCATCCTGACAATGGGCGTTGCTGGAAGTATCTGGTTGTGGAAGGAGCCATTTACTAAACAGTTAAAGACCAGACCATGTCCAGCCAAAAGGCTGGGCTCGTGGCCACAGTGCTGTAGCTGCTCACTTCATGTCCTGCGGTGCTGAGGGTGCCCCATTCAGGAACTTGGCATCAATATCCAGTGCCAGCTGGGTGCCCTGTATATGCAGGCCCCCTTTGAGTGGTGAGCTGGTCACCTTGTCACACTGTCCTCTGATTTTCTAGGCACCTGAGCCACCATTTCAACCTCAGAATGGAGGTAGGTATGCAGCAAGGTTTGGCTGACAAGCCTCATTGGCCCCATCCCATCCCCAAGAGCTTCTGTCTCCTTCTTTGCGCCTTCCCCTGCCCTCAACCAATGAAAAGAGAGACACCATGATAGGCTGATGATGGCTCAAAGGGGCGGGCAGGGTAGGGGGAGAAGACCAGACCTCCAAGGCCAGGCTCAACGCAGTCCTCTTCCTTCCACAAACTTCAGTTTTCTCATGCCCCAGAAGGCTTTTTCCAACTGCCCAATAAAGCCTCTTTCTCAGATCTTGGCAGGGGTTGTGCCCTTGCTGAACCAGATGGGTGGCCTCCTTCCCCAGAAGTCTAACATTGGCTATTTTCCCTTTGATCCAGGGAAGCCCTTCTGAACATGGCTCCCAACAAAGCGTTTTCAACAGATATGCTCAGCAGGTATGGTACCCAGGGGCCTTACGTGGGAGCAGAGAAAGGGGATCTGAGGGAGGGACAGCTCTTATAGGCCCTTATTGGGATGCAGAGAAGAGAAGTGACTTGATAGATTATTTTACCTGCCTCTCTTTCTGGATCATCTCCAGAACTGCTCTGGCTGCCAAGCTCGGTAGAGACACGGCACCCCACCCAGTGTCATCTGGGTGACATCAAGATGGAATGTAGAGCTTAGAAACGGAGGGGATAATTATGGGTTGTGAGGTGTATTGCCTTCTAAATCTTTAAACAAGCAATTGGCAGTATCCCTTAAAACCTTTCCTTCTCCTACTCGGCCACCTCCCACCAACCTGGCATCGTTCCTCCCGGGAGCTAGCCAGCTTCAGAAAGCAAATACAGCATCCTTGCTGCCAAGCCACCTATGTGCACACAGGATTTCTCTAATGGCTTAATAAACTGTTATAAAGAACTCCTTGACTTGTCAGAATAAAATAGCTGCCAGGGGCTCTGCACAATGGGCCTCTTACCATTAATAATTGTGTTGGTGTGGAAAGTGGACAGTGATACCGATGTGCGTCTCTACCCTGCCGCCTTGAACCAGGAAGAGGCCAAGGACAGGAAGGAGGGCAGGCCCTGCCTCTGCATTCAGAGGGTCACTGGGGCAGTGGTCACCCAGAAGCAGCCTGGGCCAAAGTAGGAAAACTTAGGGAAAAAAAAAAGAATGTGGCTGGAATGAGGGGCATGTGTTGCAAAGAGCAGGTGAACACAGGAACACAGACCTCCATGAAGTCAGTACCAGCCCAGGATCCAGGTCCACTATCTGGGCTGATTCAGGAGGCACTTCCCTCACTGCATGACAAGGCCGGCCAAGATGACTGTCCTCAGTCTGCAAGCTCCCAAAGGCAGGGATGATATTATATGCATTCCTTGTCCCCAACACTGATCACTGTCCTTGGCCAAGGAGGTGCTCAATCATTTTTATTGAATTAAGGCAGATCACCTCCCCCGGAGCAGATGCCTGAGTGAAGGTTAGCCCCTGAGGTGGTTAGCAGGCGTAATTAGGATGCCTGAGACCAAGCTTCCTTCAGTGGCAGGTGGCAAATTCTCACACACAGCCCATGCACCTGCACCTCTAAAATAAAAATGTCTGCCATATGTGAAGATGGGACAGATTTTCTAATCAGGACTTTTCCAAACAACAGCCAAATCCCTCCTCATAGAGGGTGATTAGTGGCCCATAGGGGGCCTTTGCGGGAATTAGAGTAAGACCCCAGTGTGGCACTCTGCCAGATACATGGCTGGGAAGTAGAAAAGAGACGGGATTCCAGCCCCCTTTCACCTCTCGGCCAGGCACTCTTGAGCAGGACCCACCTGGCAGTATTCTGTAATCCTGCAAACTGTCCTCAGGGTCTGTGTCCTGCAAAGAAAGTTTAAAGCAAAATATTCCTCCATGCACTCACTGTGTCCTCTCTTCTGACCTTTTCTATCACTTTAACTAGATTTAAACTAATACAATGGTTGTCGGGCGCAGTGGCTCATGCCTGTAATCCCAGCACTTTGGGAGGCCACGGCAGGCAGATCAGGAGGTCAGGAATTCAAGACCAGCCTGGCCAGCATGGTGAAACTCTCTACTAAAAACACAAACATTAGCTGGGCATGGTAGCACATGCCTGGAGTCCCAGCTACTCAGGAGGCTGAGACAGGAGAATTGCCTGAACCCAGGAGGCAGAGGTTGCAGTGAGCCAAGATCGTGCCATTGTGCTGCAGCCTGGACAACAGAGCAAGACTCCATCTCAAAACAAACAAACAAACAAACAAAAAAACTAATACAATGACTTGATGCTACCACCGGTTCTTCATTCACTATAGTAGTAGTGACAGCTCTATAACCCAGGGTCTGCCTGTGGGAAAGGAAGGATCCACTTAGACTCTGGGATGAGCTAGGTCTATCCACCAAGCAGCCAGCATTTACTGAGCACCCAGTCATTACAAGTCCCACACTAAGCTTTGGGAATCCCAAGGAATAGCTTTTGGGCATCTTGCATTATGGTGGTCGAGGCAAACATGCAATTTTTTAGGAGATTGTTTAAGCATCCCTCACCTCCATTCCTACCCTCATCTCCTCAGACTCTTTTGGTTGGTTATGGAGTGTGGGACCCGGGGCAGGCTCTGTCCCTATGTGGGAATATGGAGGAAAAAGACATGGTCCATGCCCCAAAGCTGCTTTATAGTGGATGATTCCATGGAAGTCGGAACTCCTCATTAGCATGCTGACTGCGGCTCAAAGCGAGGTGTCCTGAGTCTCTGGAAGAGAAACTCAGTTGATAGTGGGCACCCAGCACCAACTTTCCTGATAAAACCCGAAGTGAGATGTGGGGGAAATGACCTGAGGACCATTTTCAGGCACTGGCAAGATGTTTTCCTCAGGGGCATCCTGAGGGGTCATCCTTCTGGGTGAGGACCCCGTCAGGATGGGCTCTGGGGCTGTTTGTGCTTCCAGTTCAAGGCGGTAAGACCAATCCTGGGAGATGGAAGGTGCTGATTCTCAGAAGACCCCCAGGAGGCACCCTCTTCTACCTGACCAGTGCCACTCCACAGGGCCACCTGCTGATAAATCTTTCCAGCACCAGCTCCCCGTGAAAATGCTTTCCCAGGGCAATACCAGCATAGCATCCCCTCTGCCCTTCCCAGGCTGGACGTGAGGAATAGCCACATACAGAACAGCTCCATGTCTCTGTGAAATTGTCATCAAAGACACTGCCTGTCAACCTGCTGGATGCCCCCAGTATAAAATCAAATGCAGTTAACTGTCTCAGAAGTTGAGGCCAGGAAGAATTCCTCCCTCCCCAACCTCAATTGCTTCCCGCTCTTAATCCAAAGAAAACCATGATGTCTCCCTTTTTGCTTCGGTGGCTGGGAAAATTAATGCTAAGTAATGTGCTCAATGATAGCAGTTTCTCTTAGCCCACATTTCTGTTATTTTTAACTCCTATTATCACACACGTGCATACACACACACGTACACAGTAGTTATTATTTTTTCCTAAGTCTCTTCCTGGAAGCAGATGGGGAACACATCTGAAGGGCTGAGTTGATTCATTCAACAATACTTACCCTGAGGGGTTCCCAAGTGCCAGAGATGGTGGGAAGGACTAAACTGCTTTCAGTCCAGTAATGGATAAAGAGAGAAATGCAAGGTCACCTACACCAGGGGCCAAGCATCAGGAGTGACCAACACGACAGATGTGCAGGGGAGGGAGTCACTACTATGGCTGGGAGCCATCAGGTAAGGCTTCATGACGAGGGCAAGATGGGTACATTGTGGGGACTAAGTGCTTGGAAATCTGAGTGTTTTTACAGGGCAGGCAGATGTGCCTCTGAGATCCTGGAACTCATATAATTCCTGCATTCCTTCCTTATTTGGTTCAGAGGCTGGACATTGATGCCACCCAGCTTCACAGCCTTCTCAACCAGGAGCTTCTGACAGGTATGAGCAGCCCAAGGGCAAGCTGGCCCCACCCTCCTCCCTGCTGGCAACCCCCACCCCACACCCCGCTGTCAACACTTCAGTCCTTCCTATCCTTCTCTCCTCAGGACCTCCAGGGGACATGTTCTCCTTAGATGAGTGCCGCAGCTTGGTGGCTCTGATGGAAGTATCCTTTGCGGTCGTCCCTCCCATGCTCTGAGCGCCCCCCTGCTCTGTGGGCTTCCCCAGAGACCTAATTAGGACAGTAGGGAACCCTTTTCTCACTCTTAGTATTTTCTCTTCTTTCCTGTCCCTGAGTTTCTGGGGATTCTCTACTAACTCACTAACGTGCCACAGCAACAGTGATAATAGTTACCATCTATTAAGCGCCTACTATGTGCTGATCAGTGTACTGGGGTGTGTGTGTGTGTGCCCTTATAATTCTTGAAGCAACCCCTCTGATACAAAACGTATCATCTCATCATAAGTGGAAGAAACAGGAGTTCAGAGAGGTTAAGTAATTTGCCCAGATCACACAGCTAGTCAGGACTCGTGCCCACATTTGAAGTTGGAGCTTTCAGCGTCCAAAATCTATGCTCTAACTTTATCCTAAACCGCCCTTTATAGCACCGTTGGGAACTATTTTCCCTTTCACCTGTTCCCTTCCCACTGGAGGAGTCTCTATTATTTAAATTTCTTACTCAACAAGTCCCCAATTCAATCAAGATAACTACCACCAAAACATGGAAAACTGCCTGGTCGACACAGCAGTTGCACCTCAGCATTGTTACCATGCTGCCTTTGCAGCGGGAGAGGCTTGGCAGATGCAGTTCAGCAACTCACTCCAGGCCCGTGGCTACAAGTGTAGGACCAAGAATTGAACCCCAGGTTCCTGCCCCTCCTCCTGATTTCCATTCCCCCAGCGAGCCATCCTCCTCCTGTGTACCCCTCATTTGGCAGGCAGGAGAGGCTGACTCCATGAGTGTAGACCCCCAGATGCTGCCCTGCCAGCCCCTCACTCGGCAGTGTGCTGTCTCCTGAGACGCTCTGTCCCTCTCCCACACCGTTGACAAGGCTCAATTGGGACCGTGAAGCTGGCCATTGTAAAACAAGAGGGGTTTTTTGATGAAATCATAAATCAGGCCCTGTCTCTGCTGGCTGTGCTTTGGAATCTGTCAGAGACACTACTCATCTCCCACAGAGGAATCCAAATGGTCCTCATAGCCCCACGGCCCAGGGTGAGTAACCCTAGGGGAGGTCACCTTTGCTGGACCCCTGCAAAGCAGACAGGTCTCTTTCAGCCTTCTTCCTACTCACTCGCTGGCTCCCCTTCCAGTTCTCAGAAATTAATCTTTTCCCTTCATTAGTCATCACTGAACCCATCATACGGCGCAGCCAGGGCTGGCTTTAACATGCCCATGGGATGCTTTCCCTCTATACTTATGCGCACAGGGCTCTACGTGCTTTCCTGTGGCTACTGCTTCTGGGTTGCCATGACCCCTTCGTGCTCCTCCCCAACTTCTGGAGCCAAAGCGCCCACTCCAACTGGTGGAGGCTGTGTTCTAGACCCCTCTCTTCCCTCAGATGCAAGTGATATTGGCCTCTTTTCCTCAGGGGTTCCTTCTTCCAATTGCCCATTTTTCTTTGTGAAGCAAATCTAAGGTAGGTCCCTTTCAGACGCAGCAGGAGCCAGCTGGCATGCAGCCACATCTAGGTGACAATGGACCAGCTGGCATGAGGCCACATCTAGGTGACAATGGACCAACTGTGTTGCTAGTGATGGATGGACCTGCTCCGGCTTCACTGGCAGGACAGCAGCCCCTCTGCACCTTGCACACTGACTGGTTCACGCTTAACTCCGTACCCAGCTGAAAGTGGATGGGCGGCTAGACCAAGAGGAGTTTGCGCGACTGTGGAAGCGCCTTGTTCACTGCCAGGTACAGGCACATTCTCTGTGACTAGCACGCTCAGTCCGTCCAGTTAGCAAGGATTTACTGGGTGTCTAACCCTGCACCAGGGTTCAGGGGTATGAAAGAGGAGGAAATCTCACCCCTGCCCTCAAGGAGAGCTCGCATGTTGTTTGGGGAGATGTAGTGCAACTCTAGAAGGCAAAGGCAACGCCCAGTTAGGTGGCGGAATGAGGGATGCATTGGAGGAATGAGGGATGCGTTGGAGGTGGGAAGAGAATGCTGTCCCTGTAAGCTAAAGCTGCCCACTAGCATCTCCCCCAACCCCCACTCCTCCATCCACTGCAACACCTGCTAGCTTATCTCATCCCCGTCCAATCCATCTGCCAGAGGATCTGTCGAAAACAGTGATGTGGCCTGAGGCCTCAGTGTGGCCTCCCCATTTTTCCCAGGACAAAGTCTAAACCCTCAGAGTGGCACACAAGACCCTCTAAGTGGGTCCCCATTTGGGGCCCAGGAGAAGCCCTTTCCACTCATCCCACTCTCTCCTTTAGACTCCAATACAAGTCTAAAGGAGACTCACTACTTCCTGTAAACGTCACACCTATGCCCCTTCACCCTGCCCCTCCCATCTCTCCCCTCCCTGCACACTCAGACTGGCCAGTGCCCACCTACCCTGAGAGTCCAACCTCTACCACTCCTTCCCTGCAGAACCTTCCCTGGGGACTCTGCTGGCCCCCATGACCCCTCTGGCCCCTAACACTTGAACCCACATCTGTCAGGGCCAGCCACACTGTGTTGTCTTATCATCTTGTACTTACAAATAACATCTCCTTATTAGGAAAGCAATACCTATCATAGTAAAAAAACAGAAAATATAGATGGGCAAAAATAAACTTAGAAAACATGGTCTTGCCAACCAAAGGGAAACTGTTAACATCTAGTGAACATACTTCAGAATTTTTCTTGTAATATGTATACCCACACATGCCAAATAGAAGTATAATCTGTTTTTAAAAATTAATAAATGCCAATAAATACATCAAATGTCTAGCCATGTCACTAAATATTTTCATAACATGTTTAAAGGCTGAAAAAAAAAACATTCCTGTGTGGCTATTTCATTATATATCCCCAGATCCCCAACCAGGGGCCACTTGGTTTCTCATTTCATTGCAGGGCACTGCGATGGCCAGCATGTCCACTCCCCTGGGTCCCCCAGGGCAAGGGTTCCCTCATATCCATCTTTCCCCAGCACCTCCATAGTGTCTAAAACACAGCAGGGGTTCAAAATGCTGAATAAATGACCGAAGGAATTCCGAATGAACGAGTGAATGCCTGAGATCATTCTAGGTCTGTCCTTGCACTCACCAAAAGCCGAATAACGCCCCCAAAAAGCTGTCCAGCTGCTATTTTGCAAAGGCAGTTGTCTACCACGGTTGCCTCAGTCACGTGCCTGTGTGTGGGTACTTGGCTTTGGAGTAGCTCCTGGGGACAGCTAGGCATAGACCCAAATTAGGGTCCTGAGTTCAGTCCTGCAGCACTTACACACCTAATCCAAGGCAAAATGTTCCCTGCCTGAGCATCGGTGTCCTCATCTGTGAAGTACGATGTTGACCAGGATTATAGGGAGAATTGGGTAGAAGTAGAAAAGGCCTGGGTAGGTGCAAGAGCTGCCTCATACAAAAGTGATATGTTCCGGGTGCCACCTTCTGCCCCCGTGCTGGGCTCCAGGATGCCATTCCAACCTGCTTTCAATGTTTTCTATAGAGCATTCACTCATGTGCAAAGCACTCCCCCAAGCACTTTATAAATATTTAGTCATTTACTCCCTGCAACGAACCTATGAGGTAGGCACTGTAATTAACCCTATGCTACAGATGAGGAAACTGAGGCCTAGGAAGACTAAGTCATGGCTAAAGGTAATACAGCTGGTAAATAATCCACGATTTAAACCCTAGCAGTTTGGTTGTAAAGCCTGAGCTCCTCTTAACCACTACCCTACGCAAACTCTCTGGAGAGCCCTACGCTCCCCTCAAAAGCAGAAAACGGCCCTATGTGTTAGGGCTCAGCCTGGGGGTGCAGAAGAGGAAGGAGCCTGGGTGAGGAGAGAAGCAGCCACAGCCCCTCAGCAGGCAGCCAGGATGGTCAGTTCACCAGGTGTGGCCACTCTGTCCTCCCAGTCCTCAGTGCTGGGACCGTGCCTGCCTCTGAGGTTTAGGGAAGCAACCTCCCAGGACAGAAAAGGAGCATCCAGGACCTCCCCCGTCTTCACAGACTTCTTGCTTCTCTTCCCCTATTAGCATGTTTTCCAGAAGGTTCAGACAAGCCCTGGAGTCCTCCTGAGCTCGGACTTGTGGAAGGCCATAGAGAATACAGGTACAATGGGGACTTTGGAGCTGTGGTGCCTGGGGTCCGGAGGTGGGTGTGATGCCCACACCCCTAGTAGCAAAGCTGGCACAGCAGTGCCAGGCAATCAGAGAGGAGCACTGCAGATCTGGTGTCCTCCCCAGTTCACGCTGACCCTGGGGGGCCTCCAGGGCTGCAGACTCAGACATAGTTGCCCCGTCTGAGTTCTTACGTGCCAGTCAATTTTCCCAGATGCCTTTCCTCCCCAGCACAGCTCTAATTGTGAGAAAATAGCTGCCGCATGATTGATACCCTACCAGGAATCGAGCTCGCCTCGGAGACGCGCTTCCAGCTCAGTATCTGGGCCATCAGGGTTAAATACCCACAGGCTGGCTGATGATCGCTCTCTCTTCACAGAGAGTTTGGGGCTAAATTAAATCAAATGGCATCTGTCTGCTTCAAGTAGGCAAAGGCTTTCAGCCCTGGGATAATGATAATAATACCTTAGGGTGCGTAAGTGCTCCATGGTTCACCAAGCACTTCTGTTGGCATCATCTCATTTGACTGTCTCGACTACCCTGCGAACTGGGAAGGGCAGGAATCATTACCTCCACCGTCCCAATGGGGAAAATGGATCACAAAAAAAGTTGCACAAGGAAATGGACACCTTCCTTTAATAAAATGTAAAATCACATTTTCCTGGGTTAACACCGGAAGGAGAGTCTCCATCATCCTCCCTCCCATGGCTCCCGGCCTGGAGACAGGGCAGAAAGATCAGGCTGCTGCCCCCAGCTGTAGCCCGGATCCTCCCCTTAATGCTTCATAACGTAGAGCTGGGACTCTCAAACCTGAGCTGCCTGAGCTGCCTGCGAATCCCCAGGCAGGGCTTGTTAAAGCCCAGATTGCTGCACCTCTGATCAGGAGGTCTGGGTGGGGCTCAGGAATTTGCATTTCTAACAAACTCTCAGGGGATGCTCATGTCCCTGGTCTGGGGACCACACTTTAAGAATCCATTAAAGATGAAATATTTTAAAAAGACCTCACTCATGACTCCAGAATAATAAAAGAGAAAAAAGTAGAAAATTGTTCAAATTCAACTCAATAAGCCTTCAGCAGCCAGGCAGGTAAGTGAAAGGGGCGATGGAGCTCACAGTCAGAAAACAGGTGACTGAGAACGTGCCAAGCAGGAGAGGACCTGGCTTATCTAAAGGCATTCAAGTTCATGTTTTATTAACTCTGCCAGAGAAAGCATGTGTGTCTCTGGCTGCCAGAGGCTCACGGGCCACCAGGCTTGTCCCCATGATGGATGGTTTGGTTTGCAGGGTTCTACTGGCTCTCTAAATCTTGCAAAGCCTGACTGTGCGCCAGTATGTACTTGGCCCTGTGAGGTTGGTGCCTCCCTGGAGCCTATAACTAGAAGCACAGGATGACAAGGCACTGAGCTCCTGCCTGCCTGAGGCCACCTCCTGCGTTCTGCTGTCCCGCCAAGGGTCAGTCTTTTCCCTGGATGGAATTAGGACTGCATCGCCTTGTGCCAGGGGCCACTCCCACCTACACTAGCGGCATCCATAAACAACCTACCTACAGTCATGGGTCGGGGGGAAGGTTGTCAAGGTCATCAGCAGAGAGAAGTTTGACAGAGGCAGGGCTAGAAGCACCCCCCAGGTGTCCCAGCAGCTCTCCCATTACGTGGGAATGATCAGATGATTGCGAAGACTGATGTGTCCCCAGAGCAGTGTCTTCAGTATCTTCACCTGGTCTCTGACCAGACTCCAGAACTAGGTTCCTGGGGCCCAATAACCAACGAGAAAGAGAAGACACTGAAGGGAGGGGGCTGAGTGGGAGGAGGAGTTGGTGGGAGGTTGCCGGGACCTCTGAACAGGTCTCTCAGACCCTGAGAAGCAGAGGAACCCCCCAGCCCTAGCCTCCTCTCACTCACTTGCTCACCTGTGGCCCCAGACTTCCTCAGAGGGATCTTTGTCAGTCGTGAGCTGCTGCGTCTGGTGACCCTCAGGTACAGCGACGGTGTCGGCAGGGTCAGCTTCCCCAGCCTGGTCTGCTTCCTGATGCGGCTTGAAGCCATGGCAAGTAAGTGTCATCGAGGAGCATCCCAGAGACCCTGGCAGTGACCGGAGAACACAGGAGAGGACTGGCCACCCCTTACCCCACCCCAGGCCTGCATGAGGCCTCAGCAGCAGGGTGGGCTGGCAGCCTGCGTGAGGCACCAACCAAGGTTGCAGATGGCATGACCAGCTCCCTCTGCACCCCCCTCTTCCCTGTAGTTCCCCATCCCGGGTCTCTTTTCCTCATCATCCTGCCCAGCCTCTCTCTCAGGAACAAGGTTAATTGAAATCATGCTGTCCCCCTCTCCAGGTTGTGTTTATCATTGAAACCTGCTCTTCAGTTATGTAATGAAGGATTTTGGTCCTCGCTGAAGGAATTTCACACACAAGTGAATAAGTGGGTGTAGGAAGTCCCTCCCCAGGCTTCAGAAATCCAACTGTGTGGGCCGAAGTTTCCACACCTTTTAGCAGCGTGACCCTTTGGTTTTAATGAAATCTAGTGTGAAACCCCGGGCTAGAGTGGGGCGGCTGTGATTGCGGGAGAGAGGCCAGACCCCTCCCCACTCATAATCCTCTTACCACCCTGCCATGAGGCACCGCTACAAAGCCTGCGGCTGTGAGCTGGGCAGAAAAGATTGAGGGACTAAGGCTCTGGGATGGTAAAAAAGAAGCCCGAGGTTCAACCCCCATACAGTTCTCAGTTGGTTGCACAAGGGAGGTCCCCAAATCGTATCACTGCAAGAATAACAAGCCCTCACATCCCCTCAGCCTAGTGTGGATGGATGCAGGGGCAGAGAGTGCAAGGAAGCTGGGAGAGGGAGAGGCGAGCGGGAAGAGCAGGCACAGGGTCCCTCTGAGGTGGCGAGCCCTGAGCCATTCGCCCTGTGCAGAGCTCGGCTGGACAGAGAAGAGGACAGATGACAGGCACACCCCATGGGGCAGGAGGGGTTGCTTTACAGAATCACCTCCTGTGCTTCTTATGGGCCCAGGTCTGCCTCCCCTGAACTGCCTGGATTCCTCCCTCCTCAGTAAGTCAAAACCTTCCCTTCTTTATCCTAGAGACTTTCCGCAACCTCTCTAAGGATGGAAAAGGACTCTACCTGACAGAAATGGAGGTGAGGTACCTTCCCCTCCCTGGGGCAGGCACAGTCCTAGGCTGCCTCCCCTGACTTGATTCCAGGGGGCATTTTTTTCCCTGAGGATATTGAACGGTCTGTCAAAGGCCAGCCAAGCTGTCCCCTCAACCTCCAATTACTGCCTTATATATCGCTGGCCACCAGGCTGCTTTAGGATCTTGGCAGACAGATTTTATTTTTTTTCCAATAGCTTAATAAAGCAGAGGATTATGTGGGAGTCATAAATCCGGGAGGGAACAGAAGGACAACCCGCTGAGCTCACTGTACATTAAACTTACTCCCATTGAGTTTTAGAGGCTCCTGACCAGCCAACTGGTCGACCTAAGATATACGTCTCACTGCCTGGTTATTCAGGGAGTAGCAGAAGATGTGCTGTGAGACAACCCCACCCTGTACCCGGCTTGGGTTGGAATTAGCTGGAAGGGGTGATGAGACTGGCCTGAGGTCTTTCAAGGGAGGAGGATGGCATTTGCCCTGCTCTGTATTAAGCTAACAAGTGTAAAGAATTGTTGTAATGATGATGCTTATTTTTCAGTGGATGAACCTGGTCATGTACAACTGAAGCAAAGAGGAAAGCAGACCCCACAGCTCAGGTAAGACATGGTAGCTTTGGAGTCTTTCCCTCCTGGGAGCATAAGTCCCCCTTCTCCTCCAGGAACTGCATATAAGACTCTTTCCTTGGGAGAGCCTCCCCAGGGATGACAGACCCTTACCGAAGTGAACCAAGGCTTAGCTGCTCAAGGCCCTTGAGTTTCAAGGCCAATGCTGCAGATTTCATGCAGACAATGTAGACCAATGGACCTTTATGGAAAGGCGTGGCTTGAAAGGCATGAATGAGGGTTTAGAATTCTTTACTGAAGTTCCAAAGGAAAAAAGTGATCTCTCATCACAGGAAAGGCAAGAGAAATGGTGGAATTTGAACGGTGTAGAGTAACAGAAATGGTAGAAATGGTCAGGCCTTGGGGAGAGAAGAGCGGGCTCTAGCCCCAGCTGTACCATTGTCTCACTGTGCAGCTTTGGACAGATGATGAATATCTGTAGGCATCAGTGTTTATCCCTCTAGCATGAATGTGCTGAAGAATTAACACTCATGTCATTTCCTCTACATTCTTTTTCATGGAACAGACCCTAGCGTTACATAGTCCACATCCCAACCCTGCTGTAGCAGAAGCCCCATCAGTCCTCTAGAATCCTTTAGGACTGGGGAGCTCAAGATGTTGTGGTTCCCGTTGTTGGACATCTCCAAGTGTTAAGTATTCCTTAGCTAGAGGCAATCATCTACTTCCCTGAAACTTTCTACTCATGCTGCTGGCTCCACTCTCTGGACCACTGTAGAAAGAAAATACTGGACATGCACGACCTACAAAGGAGGATACCTTTGCTGTTTTGCCCCAAATCCCATCTTCTTTAATTATTCCTGTTGGTTTTCATACAGACCTCCTGGTGACCATTCTCTATGTGCCAATGTACCTTTGAAGTATACAGTTCTCCACACAGCCGACCTGTGATCAATATCGCCTAAAACTCAATTGTTTTTGTAAACAGTATTTAATCTCCCATTCATGCACCTTGAAGTAAAGAGACAGACACTGTCTCCATAAATAATGTTTTAGCATAAATATTTCCTGATGAACATTTGATGCTTTCTAATGATCGCAAATTAATACTGCAGAGATCATAGTTAATTTGACCCAACCATATTTCCTTGAGTTCTCCTTTCACCCCTTTTTAAAAACAGAACGTTTGATTATTTTCAGTTGTATTGTGCCTGTTCCAATCTGCATGATTTCTAATATCAAAAATGATTTGTCAATTGTATATTTAAGCTAATTTGATATACAGGGCCTAAAGGCTTAAACTTTCAAAATAACTGGATTCTCTCTTACTATCTTTTCTCCTGTACAGGGTCCCAATTCTCTCTTAACTAATCTTTCCACCCTTCCTATTTTTAAAAAAATGTGTCAGAAGGAAGTATAATATTAGAGACATTCTTGTGTTTACTTCAGTTTCTTTCATTAATGCCTATCATCACCCCCAGGAGTGCTTCCCTAGCTTCCTCATTGATCACCACCCTCTGGCATCACATCATTAAAGCACATCCACTCACTCTTGGCTTGTGGTTTGCTTTACAGAATTGGAGGCAGGAGGGTGAAGAAGTTCTGCCTCCAAATCTACAAATCCACCTTCCTCTGTAACTATTTCCCTCCTTCTTCCTGTTAAGTTAAAGGGCACATCCCTTTAAGGACATTCTGTTTCTCATTACCCTTCACCTTCTCAAGGGCCTGATTGAATGAATTCTCTCTTCTGTCTTCTGAATACTAAACCTGTCTTTGTCTTCTGGAGTCATTTAACTCCCATTTTAAAATGTGTGTCTTTTAAATTTCTTTATCTCCTACCCCTTCCAGCTGAACTCCACCTCTTTCCTCTCATTACAACCAAATTTCACAGAAGAGCTCATCGTCCACATGTTCTCACTTCCTACTCTCCCTGCTAACTGCTTCAGTTGAGATTTCTTAGACATCATCTTTCTCCCTGACCTTGGCATGGCCTCCCTATCTGGTTTTCCTATATCCACTCGTATCCCTCAAATCAATTTCCTGCAGCCGGACTACACTTTTAAAAATTCAAATCCAATCATTACATTCTCCAGGCTTAAAAACCCTTCGATGTCCTCCCATTGCTCAAAGGAAAAATCTGCCATCATTAACATGGACCACAAGAGCCTGCCTCCTCTGGCCCCTGCCCACCATCTAACAACAACTCCTACCTCTTTTTCCTGCTCTCTACTCCCACCACACCATCACACCTTTACTTCCTTCTATTTTCCATGCTTTTCCCAGCCTCAGGCCTTTGGCCTTACTGTCTGCTCTGTCTTGGCTATCAGTCACCAAACTCCTGATCCTTTATGTCTTAGCCCAGTTGGGTTCCCATGTTATGGGTTCCCATATTATTCACTCACATATCACCCCTCCCCAGTCATAACATTCAACACACTTGGTTGTAGCCCATTCCTTCTTTTAAAGAAATGTATTGAGATATAATTCACACATTGTACAGTTTGCTCATTTAAAGTATAGAGTTCAATGGTTTTTAGCATAGTCAGAGTTGTGCAACAATCACCACAATATGATTGTTAGAACATTTTTATCACCGCAAAGAAGAAACCCCATGCCCATCTAGCATGCCCACAGCAGTTGCTTCCCAATTGTGTTCCACCCTCTAGCCAGAGGCAACCACTGATCTATCTTCTGAATCTAAGTTTACCTATTCTGGACATTTCATATGAGTGATTCATACAACATGCGGTCCTTTATGACTGGCTTCTTTCACTTAGCGTAATGTTGTCAGGATTCATCCATGTTGTAGCATGTATCAGTACTTCATTCCTTTTAAGTGCCAAATAATATTTCATTGTGGCTATACCCCATTTTTTTCATCTATTCCTCAGTTAATAGACATGTGGGTTGTTTCTAGTTTTGCCTATTATTAATAATCCTGCTATGAATGTGCACAGGTTTTTGGGGGGACATATGTTTTTATTTCAATTGGGTGTATAGTTACGAGTGGAACTGCTGGATCATATGGAAATTCTATTTGTAACTTTTTGAGGAACCACCAAACCGTTTTCCAAAGCAGCTACACCATTTTACATTCCCACCATCTAGCTGCAAATGAGAATTCCAGTTTCTTCACATCCTCAGCAACCCTTGTCATTGTCTTTTATAGCAATCCTAGGCAGTGTGAAGTGATATCTCACTGTGGTTTTGATTTGCATTTTCATGATGACTAATGATTTTGAGCATCTTTTCAGTGCTTATGGATTATTTGTAGATCTTTGGAGAAATGTTCATTTAGTTCTTTGTCTATTTTTAAGCTGCGTTATTTATATTTTTACTACCGAGGAGTTGTAGATGTTCTTTGTATATTGTAGACACGAATTCCTTATATACGTGATTTGCAAAAGTTTTCTCCCCTTCTGCAGGTTGTCTTTGCGGTTTTTTTGATACTATCGTCTGTAGCATATGAGTCTTTAATTTTGATGGAGTCTCATTTATCTATTGTTTTCTTTTGTCACATATTTGTGGTGGTATAGCTGAGAAATCATTGCCCAACCCAAGGTCAAACTATTTATTCTGGTTTTTCTTCAAAAAGTTTTATAGTTTAGCTCTTACATTTAGGTCTTTGATCCATTTTGAGGTCATTTTTTATATGGTATGAAGTAGGGTTCTAATTTCATTCTTTTGCATTCATTCATTTGTCCCAGCACCAGTTGCTGAAAAAAACTATTCATTCTCCTGTTTCTTTGTCTTGGAACCCTTTTCAAAAATCAGTTGAATATAAGAATTTATTTATGAACTTTCTGTTCCATTGATTTATATGTGTATCTTATGCCAGTATCACACTGTGTTGATTGCTACAATTTTATCGTAAGTTTTGAAATCAGGAAGTGTGAGTTTTCCAACTTTATTTTACTTTTCAAGACTATTTTGGCTATTCTGGGTTCCTTGCATTTACATATAAATTTTAGAATCAGCGTATCAGTTTCTGGGATTTTGATAGAGAGTAAATTAAATCTAAAGGTCAATCTGGGAAATATTGCCATCTTCACAATATAAAATCTTTTGTTCCATGTGTCTCTTCATTTTTATAGATCTTCTTTAATTTTTTTGAGCAATGATTTACAGTTTTCAGTGTAGAAGTCTTATACTTTCCTTGTTAAATTTATTCCTAACTATTGTAGTTTGGGATGCAATTTTAAATAAAATTGTTAATATTTTCAGATTTTCATTGCAAGTGTACAGCAATAAAAATGATTTTATATTGATCTTATATCCTGCAGCCTTGCTAAACTTGTTTATTAGTTCCAATATTTTTAAAGAGCTTCCTTAGAACTTTATATATTCAAAAATCATGTAATCTGCAAGTAAAGATAGTTTTATTTTTCCACACCAATATAGAGCTTTTTATTTCTTTTTCTTGCCTAATTGTCCTGGCTAGAACCTCTAATACAATGCCAAATAGAAGTGAACAAAGCAGACAACCTTGTGTTCCTAATCTTGGGAGAAAACACCCAGTTCTTTCCTATTAAATATGATGATCACTGTGTGTTTTTCATAGATACCATTTGCCAGGTTGAGGAAGTGCACTTCTATTTGTAGCTAGCTGAGTTAACACACTTTTCATTACTTGCTTGATGTCAGTATTCTCCGCTAGACTATAAGCCTGGGTGTGTCTTGTTTGTTGTTATTTCCTTAGCCCAAAGCGAAACACCTGTCAAAGAGAAACTAGTTGGTAACTTTCTCCCAAATAACTGAAAGAAATTGTTCTTTCAGGTTTATACCTTCCTTTGTTTTGTTCTCATCCCAACATTTTTTACTATTAGTTTACACCCTAGTCTTCCTGCTATTTTAGCTATTCTCTATTTTATTCCCCTTTGGTGTACTGGGAGGCAGATAGTTAATATCATCTTGTTATTATCTCTAACATATCATGACCCATATTATCTTATGAAGTCCTATTTTTCCCTCACTTTTTTGAAAAATTTGAAAATTTCCCTCACTTTTTTGAAAAAGTTGAAAGTGTCCTGGTCACTTCAACTCTATCCAATATTCCCTTATTTTGCTATTACAAAGTTTCTTTCTTCTAGGAGTTCCAACATTCTGAGGTCAGCAAAGAGACTTTCATTGTTAGCCAGCATTCAATCCAGCGAGTCCCTCTCCTTGCTCACTTGATCCTCTGTGTTACAAAGTGTCACTGGAGCAAGCAAAGGCTTTGTCCTGAGTTAAGCGAGCTTCTCCCAGAGATGAGGGTTTTTGGAGCTCCATCACCAGGCTACTTTTTTTCCAGGTCACTCCCTACAAACTGTGTACAAGACGTCTTTTATCTGCCCTTGGACTCACTGAGCAAGTCGAGGTATACTTTCATTGTGAGAATACTTCTGTTCTCATCTTCAACCCATCTGCTCTCTGACCTAGCAGATTGGGTTATACGTATACGCAACTGGACTGAACCCCTCCTCCTCTCTTCCCATCAAAAATATTTCTTTTAAACGAAGTGTATGCCTTGTTGTCACATTGCAGGCAATACCTATATTAAAATATGTTAAAATATGAAGTTCATACTTGAAAGAATGCTAATACTTAGTTCATTGCTCTGTGCTCCTTGGACACTTGAGGCTGTATTGATTTTAATTGATTTCACAGTCTAGAGGTTTAATACACGGCAAATCACACCCTGCTGAGAGTTTGTCTAGCTAATGTCGTCTACATCTGTGTTGATCTACTGTCACTATGCCAGTAAAATGCCTTATTCTAACAAAATTGGTATTTATAACAATTTCCCACTGTATAAGAATACAATTTCTTGAGGAAAGGGACACCTTCTCCTAGTCTGCAGGATTTAGGTGAAATATGACAACAGTGACCCTGGTCTTACTGATGACCCACAACCATTTTCTGCAGGATGAGTCTGCTTCTAGCCTAGTAAATCCATCTCTCCCATCTCATTCTGTTCATCAAAAGAAATTCTTTTTGAGAGATCTGGCTAGATGCTGGGTTGAACACTGACACCCCGGGGCAGATGGAACTGTCTGAGTTTAAGTTAAACTCTCCTATACTTGTGAGTTGAGAGTTGTGAGTCTGGATGTGCCTCTGGTGACGTGAAAACGCTCAACACCATTGGCAAGCATACACCTGGTGGTTACCAGGCACCTTGAGATGCCAGGGTGTCCAGCCTTCTGGAGCTGGCTTCGGAAGAAAAATGTATCCAATGGGAAACCGACATGTACACTCCAAGGGGATAAACCAAGGAGGAGGAAGAGTTGGAATCCAGGTAACAGAAGATCCAACGCTAGACAGAGGCAGGGAAGTCCAAGGACCAGTGCTGTGCAGCCGAGCAAGAGAGTGAGCCATCCCAAGGGAAGCTGGAGGGCAGCCTTTGGGGAAAATGGGAGCAATCGTTGATCAAATTGCTTAATTATAGAAAAAATAATGTTCAGAGGGATTTTGAAATTCTGCTGGAGAGCTTTGGAAGAATTAGTAGGATAACGACTTAAACTAAGCAGACAAAAAAGTGAGGCAGTTATTAACTCCTGGAAGAATAAAGAGTTACAGAAGAAAGAAAATGTGATCCTAGAGTATTTTTTCATTCAGCAGTGAACAGTACACATACAATTGTAATAAAATCAAAATGGAATATTGATTTAACAAAAATGTGACATAAATATATTAGAAGGATGGAAGGAGGGAAGTTGTAGACATGAAAGGGGGCTAGAAGCAACCTCGCCCCATCTTCCATCATAAGAAGTCAATAGGCATTTAAAATTGACAAATCAAGAATTAACTGCATAAGCATATTACCTAGAAATACGGAGGTAAACATCAGAAGAAAGAGTTTAGGGAGGGGAATTTGGATAGAAATGGGACAAGAAGCTGCTATTTTCCTTCGTGCCTTGTAGCACTCTTTGAATTTTTAAATTATGTATCTTGGACTGAATTTTTATGAAAAAAAATAAGCAAACTAGCAAGTAGTCTGTGAGACAAGAGAGAAGGAGAGAGGCAGGGAAGAAGAGTTGAGGCCTCTTTACCCAATGGGTAGGGCAGCTGACTGATCATTGCAGAAAACGTGTCTATGCACAAATGTCACTTTAATCCAAACCCCCTGCACTTGAGAAAAACCACTCTCCTGAAGAAGTCCAAAGCCAGCCATCTGGAGCTTGCATGGGACAGAGCTCAGGGCTGTTGTTACCATAGCAGCCCCTGGCCTCAGCCCTTCCAACCTGCCTGGAGATGGGAGGAACATCTCTTCCCCAAGTTTCCCTCCACTCCAGTGCCAGCGCTCAAGGTGCTAAAATGGGCTATGATATGAACTCAAGCTTGGGGCAGGACAGGTGCGGGGGTGCCCTTTAAGGAATTTTGAAGAATGGGGTAGGAACATCCATTAAGGGGCCATGGGCATGTTGGGGTCTGTCAGCCTTGCCAGCAGGAAGCACCAGTGCTTCCTCTACCGTGGGATGATCCAGAACCGCATCTTTGGAATGGGGATCCTCTTCTGTGGTCACTCAAAGGAAGAAGTTCCTTTACTCACCCTTGGCCTTCTGCATTTGCGCCTCCATGTCTTTCTCTAGGACAAGCTCCCAGTGATCACTCAAGAATCTGTCTTTCATTCTAAGAGGCTGTTCTGCCCACTGTGGTTGTGATACATCTAAACTGGCCCTGTGTGAAGCGGAGTCCAAGCTGTCTTCCAACAGCCTGGGTTCGGTCCTTGACTGGCCCAGGCCCTGGTAAGCCTGTGGCCACCAAGCAGCTTATCTGAGCACTTTGGGATGTGCTCAGCCTACATTGCCCTGGAAAATGAAGCAGGAGATGTCTCCCTGTGGGAAAGGAGAAGAGAAGTTGCCTCTGAGTCAACTGTCACCAGTTGGATTCACTTCTTGGAAGAGCTAAAATGAGCCAGTTTGCCCACCCTCGGGTGCTATGGGTGACCCGGGAGCTGTCCACTGGGTGTTTGCAGAATAATTACAGTATCTTGTGTCTGAATCCTGATGATTTCACAGCTAAATGGCAAAAATAAAACATGTTTCCCACAAAGGTCTCTCATTCAAGTTCTGTCTCAAAAATACACTTGGAAAAGAGGAAAGGTATCCAGCAAGGCAGATGCTTCCCTCGCTCCCTCCTCATCCACGGTGTGGTCACCAGGTGTCTCAAAAAGGCAAGGCCCACAGAGAATGGAAGAGATTCCACAGCATAACTGGGTCAGAACCCACTCAAAAGAATTTGCAGTTGGAAAGCTCATTTCCGGATGCATCAACCCAGTAGGGGAATCGTTGCAAATGGGTGTGTCAAAAGGACAGGAAGGTGGGAAGTTTGCTGAGTGTGTCTTTCTGAGTGGCACAGTCAAAGGACAGGATAGTGTGGGCAGGGCTGCATCATCACGCACAAACCCATGCCAGGAGCAAGGGCAGTGCTCAGCAGTGATTGCATGCTGTATATAAGTACCAAACACGCAGCCAAGTGACCTCATCCACAGGGACTGTTGTAAAGCCTTCACAGTCATTTCAAGTAGAATAGCTGCCTGCTTAAGGAGTTGAGCCCCTCTTGCTAATGCTTTTGAATAGCGAGAGGGTCAGACACACAGCAAAATTTGGGACAGGTCACTTTGCCTCCCAGTCTGCTGCTTGGTTAGCCAGGATAGATGCCCATGGTTGTGAGCATGGACTTTGGAGTTAAAGCTAATGTCTAAAGATCCTGAATCCTGGGCTGTCAGACTGCCCTGCTACATAAGATTTTCTGCATGCAAAAAAAAAACTGGGACTGGCAGGTCAACAGAGACTCTGATAAGTGGGAAAATCCAGAAGAATGAATAAGCCATTTCCTGCAGGATTCAAAGATGACCTTTACCCAGGCATCCAGGTAGAAAGTCTAACCCACCTGCACAGTTTGCTGCCACAACCACGTGTCATCCCAAGCTCCTTTTGGGGCTCCTTGCATCCTGGAGGACAAGCAGAAATGGATGATTCTGCAGGCCTAGGGTTGGTGGCGAGCAGCCCCGGGGGTCTGCACAGGCTGGACTGGTGTCCTCAGGATGCAGGGCAATTGCCTCCCTCACAGGGCTTTGCTCAGGGACCAGTCATTAATTTTCTTTTTAAACTAACAGAATTTAAAGGGGCAGGGTCCTCAATTGCTTGATTGAAAAACTGACTCTCCCTGTCATGCTGGGGCTCCAGAAGGCTCAGAAAGGCTCCAGGTGGCCATGGTAGAGGGGCCCTGGCTTCCAGTCTCCCCAGGAAAGGGCAGGGCCTTGATCCTTAGCCCCAGCACAGGGCAGACCAGCCAGTTCACCCCGAGGCTGCACCTCCTCGGGACTCCCCGTGTCCTTCAGCCAGGGTTGAGAAAGGGCTCCAGAGCAGGGCAGGCTTGACAGGCTGATGATCTCAGACAAACCCTGGCCCTGCCAGCCTCTTACCCATGGGTCCTGGGATGGGTTGCTTTGTCTCTGCAAGGTGAGGAGGTGGGCAAGGACCATGGCTGGTGCCCAGATGGAGGGGCGGGATACCTCACGGAGCAAATGACAAAGGCTCAGGCACAAATCGCACCTGCCCCCCAGGCTCCCTAGAGCTTCTGCCGCTACAGCCACCCTATGATGGAAGCAAGGTGTCCAGGCTCTTGTCCATTTTACAGATGAGATCCCTGAGGCCTCAGGTGGCCAGAGGTGGCCATGCCATTAGAAGTGGCAGATATAATGTGTCTCTGGGACACATTTAAAGCAGTGTGTAGAGGGAAATTTATAGCACTAAACGTCCACAAGAGAAAGGAAAGATCTAAAATTGACACCCTAATATCACCATTAAAAGAACTAGAGAAGCAAGAGCAAACACATTCAAAAGGTAGCAGAAGGCAAGACATAACTAAGATCAGAGCAGAACTGAAGGAGATAGAGACACAAAAAACTCTTCAAAAAATCAATGAATCCAGGAGCTGGTTTTTCGAAAAGATCAACAAAATTGATAGACTGCTAGCAAGACTAATAAAGAAGAAGAGAGAGAAGAATCAAATAGACGCAATAAAAAATGATAAAGGGGATGTCACCACCGATCCCACAGAAATACAAACTACCATCAAAGAATACTATAAACATCTCTACGCAAATAAACTAGAAAATCTAGAAGAAATTGGTAAATTCCTGGACACATACACCCTCCAAAGACTAAACCAGGAAGAAGTTGAATCCCTGAATAGACCAATAACAGGCTCTGAAATTGAGGCAACAATTAATAGCTTACCAACCAAAAAAGGTCCAGGACCAGACGGATTCACAGCTGAATTCTACCAGAGGTACAAAAAGGAGCTGGTACCATTCCTTCTGAAACTATTCTAATCAATAGAAAAAGAAGGAATCCTCCCTAACTCGTTTTATGAGGCCAGCATCATCTTGATACCAAAGCCTGGCAGAGACACAACAAAAAAAAGATATCCCTGATTAACATCGACGGAAAAATTCTCAATAAAATACTGGCAAACTGAATCCAGCAACACATCAAAAAGCTTATCCACCATAATCAAGTTGGCTTCATTCCTGGGATGCAAGCCTGGTTCAACATATGCAAATCAATAAATGTAATCCATCATATAAACAGAACCAAAGACAAAAACCACATGATTATCTCAATAGATGCAGAAAAGGCCTTCGACAAAATTCAGCAGCCCTTCAGGCTAAAAACTCTCAATAAACTAGGTATTGATGGGATGTATCTCAGAATAATAAGAGCTATTTATGACAAGCCCACAGCCAGTATCATACTGAATGGGCAAAAACTGGAAGCATTCCCTTTGAAAACTGGCACAAGACAGGGATGCCCTCTCTCACCACTCCTGTTCAACATAGTGTTGGAAGTTCTGGCTAGGGCAATCATGCAGGAGAAACAAATAACGGGTATTCAATTAGGAAAAGAGGAAGTCAAATTGTCCCTGTTTGCAGATGACATGACTGTATATTTAGAAAACCCCATCATCTCAGCCCAAAATCTCCTTAAGCTGATAAGCAACTTCAGCAATGTCTCAGGATACAAAATCAATGTGCAAAAATCACAAGCATTCCTATACACGAATAACAGACAGAGAGCCAAATCATAAGTGAAATCCCATTCACAATTGCTTCAAAGAGAATAAAATGCCTAGGAATCCAACTTAAAAGGGATGTAAAGGACCTCTTCAAGAAGAACTACAAACCACTGCTCAATGAAATAAAAGAGGATACAAACAAATGGAAGAACATTCCATGCTCATGGATAGGAATAATCAATATCATGAAATGGTCATACTGCCCAAGGTAATTTATAGATTCAATGTCATCTCCAACAAGCTACCAATGACTTTCTTCACAGAATTAGGAAAAACTACCTTAAAGTTCATATGGAACCAGAAAAGAGCCCACATTGCCAAGACAATCCTAAGCCAAAAGAACAAAGCTGGAGGCATCACGCTACCTGACTTCAAACTATACTACAAGGCTACAGTAACCAAAACAGCATAGTATTGGTACCAAAACAGAGACATAGACCAATGGAACAGAACACAGCCCTCAGAAATAATACCACACATCTACAACTATCTGATCT